TTTATTCCTCACCTGAGGATATTTTTTTCTATTTATCCTCAGATAGAGTGGGGGAACAGAGAGAGAGAGACAGACAGAGAGAAACATCGATGTGATAGAGTAACATTGACTGGTTGCCTCCCACACAACCCAGTTTGGCTCAGTGGTTACAGCATCAGCCCATGGACCAATGAGTGGAAGGTTTGATTCTGATCAAGGGCACGTACCTCGGTTGCAGTTTGACCCAGCCCTGATCGTGGTCATGCAGGAGGCAACCAGTCGATTGTCTCTTTCACATCAATGCTCCTTTCTCTCTCTCTCTCTAACCCTCCCTCCCATTCTGTCTGAGGATAAATAAAAAAATATCCTTGGGTGAGGATTAAAAAAAAAAAAAGCTAACATTCACGTAAAGAAATGAAAATACAGACATATATGCTTATATACAAATAACTCTTCTCTGCAAATACACAGAAGAAATAAATACTAGTGGTTGCCATGGCAGGGGGAGGAAGGAGGGTAACTGCGGTTCATGGATGGGAAGAAAGATTACTTTAAACTTCTCTGTACTACTTGAAATTTTTTTCAACAATAGGATAAATTTCCTATTCAGAAATGTTTTTTTAAATTAAAAATTATATAAAGATGTAAGTGCATATGAATATATGCAAAAATTATAGGAAATATTTTACTTATGAGTGGGATATAGAGTTTCCTTTTGAGAAAATGAGTAAGTTTTGAAGATGGTGGTGGTGGTTGAACAACAATGTGAATGTATTTAATGAGACTAAACTGTTAACTTAAAAATGGTTAAAATGGCCCTGGCTGGTGTGGCTCAATTGGTTGCAGCATTGTCCAGTACACCAAAAGGATTTAGGTTCGATTCTAGGTCAGGGCACACATCTAATATGCAGGTTCAATCTCTGGTCAGGGTGTGTATGGGAAGAAACTGATTGATGTTCCTCTCTCACATCAATGCTTCTCTCTCTCTTTCTCTCTCCCTTCCTCTCTCTTTCAAATCAGTAACTATGTTCCCTGGTGAGGATTAAAATAAAATGGTTAAACCCTGGCAGGTGTGGCTCAGTTGGTTGGAGCGCTGTCCTATGCACCAGAAGGTCACTGGTTCAATTTCAGGTCAGGGCACATACCTGGGTTGCAGGTTCCCCAGTTGGGGTAGATATGGGATATGTTTCTCTCTCACATTGATGTTTTTTTCTCTCTCTCTCCTTTCCCCTCTCTCTAAAAAAAAAAAAAAAATCGATGAAAATATTTTAAAGGATGCTTATAATATGATTAAATAATGTAAAAATATATTTTTAAAAATGGTTAAAATGGTAAATTTACATAATGCATATTTTATCACCATAAAAAACAATCTAATTGGAATGTTAGCAAAAGACTTGGACACTTCACCAGAGATGGATGGCAAGTAAGCACATGAAAAGATGTTCAAGATAATTAACCATTACAGAAATGCAAATCAAAGTCATGAAGAATACCACTATATATTAGAAACGCTAAAATAAAATAAAAAATTAATATCAGGTGCTGGCAAGGATCCAGAGCAAGTGGATGTCTCATACGTTGTTGGAAGTAATGCAAAATAATACGGCCACTCTGGAAAAACAGTCAGCAATTTCTTATAAGTTAAACATACACTTACCGTACAACCATACTACTGGGTACTTAGGTGAAGAAATGAAAATTGTGTTCGAACAAAAACCTGTAAACCAATGTTCATTGCAGCTTTACTGGTAATAGCTAAAACTGGATACAACCCAAATGTCCTTCAATGGATGAATGACAAACTGATTACAACTATCATACAACTATTCAGCAATAAAAAGGAATGAAATGAATTTGAATAGATCCCGAGGGCATTGGGCTGAGTGACACTAGCCAATATCAAAGAATTACATATTGTATGATCCCATGTGTAAAACATTCTTGCTATAACAAATTATAGTGCTTGAGAACAGATCAGTGGTTGCCAGGAGTTAGGGGCAGGGGAGGGGATGTGACTATGAGGTAACATGAGGGAGCTTCTTCGTGGTGATGGAATAATCGTGTTCTGATTGTGGTGCTGGTTACAAGAATCTGTATGTGTGATAAAATTCTATAGTACTATGCACACAAAAGAATGCATATAAAATTAGTGAAAGCTGAATAAAGTCTATCTCTACTTGAGTTAATAGTATTGTACAAATGTCAATTTGGGAGTTTTGATAATGTGCTATGGTTACATGTTATCATTGGGCAAAGCTGGATGAACTCTACTGTTTTTGCAACTTTCTGTGAGTCTTAAAGTCTTTCAAAAGAAATTATAAGAGAAAAAGCAGTAAACTATTAATACAGTTAAAAATATGATGAATCCTGCCCAGCCACTGTGGCTCAATGGTTGAGCGTCGACCCATGCACTAAGAGGTCACTGGTTCGATTCCCGGTCAAGGCACATGCCCAGATTGTGGACCTGATCCCCAGTGGGGGGCATGCAGGAGACGGCCAATTGATGTTTTCTCTCATGGATGTTTCTATCTCTCTCTCTAAAAATCAATAAAGGAAAAAAAAAGTTAAAAAAAGAAAATGCTTAAAATAAATATGATGAATCTCAAAAACATTTTGTTGAGCTAAAGAAGACAGATACAAAAGAATACACATCCTATAGTTCCCTTTAAGTTCTAGAACAGGCAAACTAAAATATGATGAGGGAAACCAGATCTGTTGTTGCCTGTGAGGTGATGTGTGGGGAATGACTGAGAGGAAATATAAGGGAACTTTCTGGGGAGTGGAAATGTCCATTTTACTGTGTTTAAGTTACATCTAAAAAGCTGGGGAGGGGGCGCGCAGGGGGACAAAAAGCCCTCTTTAATAAACCTTGCTTGCACACACACATAGTTGGTCAAGCCTGTAGAGATAGAATATTTTGGATAAAGGACTTTCAGACAATCTAAAGTGACTCGAGGTCAAGTGTTCCTATAACTTTGGAAAGATTTAATTCTGAGAGAGAAGTGGCCTAGTTGGCCAATTTACACTATCCAATTTCTTTCTGTAAAATCTGCAGCATATAAATGTAGACTGGTTCTGGTAAAGATTATAGATTTAAAATTCAGCACTTTTAAATTTTGTGCCTTTTAAACAGAAAGTTGTGCCTGGCTTTTCCAAACTGGCCATTTATACAGTTTGAAAGGAAAGCACATGTATCAATGAATGTACCTAATGCATCTGAAATGTCCACAATTGTTACCTGAAAAGGAAATTTTCAGCCGAGTCCTGAGGAGTTGCAGTGCCTTTGTGACTCAGCTGGCCAGACTAGCCAGAGACTCAGGGTTCCTGGCTTTTTGGATCTCTATGTATTTAGGCCCAAGACTACAGTCCTTTGTCTGAACCTTTGGTCATTGTTCCTTCACTTGAGGTCTCCCTTTACTTTACTTTGCTTTGTAATTCTAATCCTGAAATCTTTCCGTGCTGGGTGGTGTGAGAGCTGACACATTTTCATTCTAAACAGAATCCAGAAATCCCTGAGGGCTAACACCTCAAATTCAGGGGTTTCTCGGGAATGCTGTGGCTGTCTGGGAAGTGCTGGGGCTTCCTGCCAAGAACTGGAAGGGTCTTGGAAGTTCTTGACTCCATACCTTAGAGAACATCTCTTTATTTAACAGATGGTGAAGCAGAGGCCCAGAGATTAAAGGCCACCTCTATGAAGCTGTCCCCAAGTCTGTATCTCTAGCCCTAGGCTTCTACATCCAACCCAGGTATGACCCAGTCATCTAAATTCAGGAGGTTCAAAATGGACTCTTCCTACCTGCCCCCAGGCTCCCCTCTCCCCCACTTTTGTACACACACACCCCCCAAATCTTCAACTCTTCCCCTTCCTTCACAGCAATCCTATTTATTCCGGCTGCAAATAGATCTCAAACTTGTCCCCTTCTCTTCACATCCCCAAGATACCCCTAGTCCAGCTCTCTGCTGCTTCTGTCCTCGCCCCCCGCCCCAATTCTCACTCAGCAACCAGACACTCCAGTGATCTAGTCGCTCCCTGCTGTAGCAGTTTCCAGCCCTAGAGTAAACTCAAACTCCCAGGCTGCAGACTGGCAGACTGCAGCCCACAGAAAGGTTTTCTTTGGACTGTCTTCCGGAGGAGTGGGGACTGACTCCCCAGTGATCCCAGTTGACTCCCAGGGGTCAAAGTGAGACGAATGGGAAGAAGCTTCCAGAGGCTTCTAGTCAGGTGTTTGGCCCTATAAAGCCTTCTCCAAACGCAGGTTGTTGTGAACCTCCTGACAGGCAGGACCCCAGCTTTTGTTTTGGGAAGCAGTGAGAAAAGCCTACTCTTTAAAACCAGACAGTCCTAAATTCAAATCCTGGCTCGTTCTACGCAGCCCAGCTGGCTCGTTTCTACTACGTCTATAACTTTCTAAACAAACGTTCTCTTATCATTTGAAAAAACAAAAGCAAACCCCGGTTTACATAATCTCTGCTTCAGTTTACTCATCTGTGAAATGGAGACAATAACAACACTTATCACCTGCGAGGGTTCTTGTGATAATTGAGCTATAAAGCACTTATCACAGCACACAGTAGGCGCTTAATGCGTCCATGGAAGCCCTTGCTCGCAGTCTCAGGAACCCACACACCGTGCTGCCCACGGCTACCCTCGCCCCTAAGGTGCTAAATTCCCTGTCACGAGAGTGTGCAAGCGCTACTTGGGGCCCAAAGGATTTCCGTGCCCGCAGAAGGCCGGCCTAGGCCTTGGGGTCCCTCCAGTCTCGAGTTAAGCTCTCGGAGTCTGATTTCTGGTCCCGCGCTTCAAGCACCACCAGCCAAAAACGCGTCCTCACCGGCGCCCGCGCACCGCCACAGCCGGCTCTCAAACACAGAGTGGATCTGAGTGGACCCCAGGCGGAGAGGCGGGACCATCTCCGGGGAGGAGGCGGGGCACGCAGGCGCTGCGTCCTGTCATTGGCCCGCGGCAGCGGGGAGGCGGACCCTACGTCGCAGTGCTGCTGTGTTGTCATTCGGCGCCGGTAGAGGACACTGTTAAGATGGCGGTGTCTGGGTTGGTGCGGAGACCCCTTGAGCAGGTAGGCAGCGGCGTGCGGCCCGATGACCCTGCGCGATCCCTGCCCACCCTGCCTTCCCTCTGAACACCCTTTGTCTCTCCCCGCCAGGTCTCCGGGCTGCTGAGGAGGCGCTTCCACCGGACGGCGCCGGCAGCGCTGCAGGTACCTGGCCTGGACCCTAGCCGGGGCAGGGATGGGTGGAGGCCGGGGTGGCGCCTGCGCGCTGGCGGGTGGGCGCTGAGCGGGGAGACGCGGCCTCTGGCCTTGGAGTCTGGGGATTCCAGCATCCTGCTGGGACTCTGCTGCCTGCGCGGCGGCCCAGCGCCCAACCCCAGCATGGTATCCCCTCGAGGCTCCTTGGAATCCGATGGGCGATCTGAGGACACTAGACTTGACGCTTTTTCCCTGACCCCGCCCCCGTTTATTGTGGTAAAATATACGTAACAAAATTAACCGTTTTAAAGTGAGTAGGAATCATTGTGGAATCATTGGCACTAATTCCATTCACCATGTTTTGCAATGATCACCATCATCTATCTCCAGAACTTGAACATTTACTGAACACTAACTTTCCATTTCCCCTTAGCCCCTGCTAACCTCTGTTACACCTTCTGTGTCTATTCTAAGTATTCCCTGTAAGTGGAATCATACGATAGTTGTCCCTCCATGTCTGGCTCATTTGACTTAGCATAACGTTTTTAAGGTTCATTCATGTTGGAACACGTGTGTGTCACAATTTCATACTTTTTAAAGGCTGAATAATCTATTGTGTGTGTATATATGTATACATACATACCACATTTTGTTTATTCATCTGTTGATGGACATTTGGGATGTTTCCACCTTTTGGATTTGTAAATAATACTGCTATAAACATTGTGCAAGAATCTGAATCTCTGCTTTTAATTTCTTTTAAAATATTTTTTCTTTATTGATATTAGAGAGAGAGAGGAAGGGTGAGGAAGGGAGAGATAGAAACATCAATGAGAGAAAACATTGATTGGCTGCCTCCTGCATACCCCCCACTGGGGATTTGGCCTACAACCTGGGCATATACCCTGATCGGGAATCAAACTGGTGACTTCTTGGTGCATGGGTTGATGCTCAACCCTAAGCCACACCGGCTGGGCTCTGTTTTAATTCTTTTGGGGAAATATCAAGAAGGGGAATTGTTGGATCATATGGTAATTCTATTTTCAACTTTTTGAAGATCCCCTCCCCTTTTTTTTTACTAGAGGATTCTACCAACCTATATAGTAAAATAACTCCTAGATCCTGAAGGCATGGTGTTTGGCAGTGCCTGGTACCTAGCTGAGTGCTCAAAACGTAGTTATTTAGGCTTCCTTAACAGTTCTCTTAAGTGTGGAAGTTAAAACAGCCCAGTATACTTTCTTCTTACGAAGTTTTGTCTATGAACTGGTCTGGTCAGCAAGCAGATCCCTGAAGCCTAGGTATGTATATACATCAAGTGAAGTGTTCAGTAAACTTCTCATTAACACACCCAATCAAAGGCTAGCTATGTGGATAGAAATACTTTTAGAAGTCCTTGACCTTTTAAAGAGAAGCCTATTCTAAAGATAGTTTTTTGCCCTGGCTGGTTTGGCTCAGCGGTTAGAGCGTCGGCCTGTGGTCCAAAGAGACCCCGGTTCGGTTCCCACTAAGGGCATGTACCTCGGTTGCAGTTTGTCCCTGGCCCTGGCTGGTTGTGCAGGTGGCAGCCACTCGATGTGTCCCTTTCACGTCGATGTTTCTCTCTCTCTCTCTTCCTCTCTGTCCCTCCCACTCTATCTGAACTAAAAATGGAAAAAATGTCCTCAGGTGAGGATAAAAAAAAAAGATAGTTTTTCTGTGGGCAGCTTAGGTAATTATAAAGGGGAGAATCTCAGTAGTATCCTAAATAATACTGTAACTTACTGACTTTTCCCATACCTGTGACAGGTGACAGTTCGTGAGGCTATAAATCAAGGTATGGATGAGGAGCTGGAAAGAGATGAGAAGGTATTTCTGCTTGGGGAAGAAGTTGCACAATATGATGGGGCTTACAAGGTAACCAAGATACAAGAAAGCTATACAAAATTGAGGTGACTATCTGCCTCCAGATACACTTACAAGTAATGACGTCAATGCTTAACTTTAGGTTAGTCGAGGCCTGTGGAAGAAATACGGAGACAAGAGGATTATAGACACACCCATATCTGAGGTAAGCCCTTCCATCAGGAAGCAGACCTTTAAAGTGTACACTGTTGTCATTTGTATGGGTTTTCACATGTTTGTGTTTTATCTTATAGATGGGCTTTGCTGGAATTGCCGTAGGTGCAGCTATGGTATGAATTTTTGACTTTCCTGATCCAAAGAGATTTTAACATGACCTTTGAAAACATTATTTGAATGTTGGAGGAGCAGAGTGGTTATTTGTCCCTCTTCACTGCTGTTTTAAGTCTTAACATCTGTGTTTTTCATTTGACAGGCTGGGTTGCGGCCCATTTGTGAATTTATGACCTTCAATTTCTCTATGCAAGCCATTGACCAGGTTATAAACTCAGCTGCCAAGACCTACTACATGTCTGGGGGCCTTCAGTGTGTACCCATTGTCTTCAGGGGCCCCAATGGTGCCTCAGCAGGCGTAGCTGCCCAACACTCGCAGTGCTTTGCTGCCTGGTATGGGCACTGCCCAGGCTTAAAGGTGGTCAGCCCCTGGAATTCAGAGGATGCCAAAGGACTTATTAAATCAGCCATTCGGGATAACAATCCAGGTCAGCAGAGTAACCTTTGGGTCTCTTTTGAACATTAAAGAACTAAAATGAAATCTTTGCATGGAAGGCACCAATGAAAACTTCTAGTTAGACATAATATATAAAATGTTCATGATTTATAAATATAGTAAAGATAGCAAAAAATATTGTTTTTCTTCTGACTACATGGGGACCAGTTAGGTAAAGGAGACATTTACTACATACCTACAACGCTGGTTTAACCTCATAGATAAAATTAGGATTGATCAAACTACAAATGTCAGTACCTAAACCATCCTTGAGGGTACTGGACACAATAGACACAAGGCTTCAGCACAGTGAAACTGTTCACAGAATGAATGATAGTGGCGCTCTACCTCTCAGGAGTGCACCTCCTAAACTTTAAGGATCCTAAGACTTGCAACCAACGGGGCATGGGCAGTGGCAGCCTGTCCCAGCCTAACCCCCTGAACCTGTCCCCAAGGCCCCTTTTGCTCTGACTTCCCAGTGAGCTGACAGCAGCACCTCCTTGGCTCACTTTTTTCACTGTGACTTTTATTTCTCAGTGAGCCAAAGCAGCTCCTCCTAGGCTCATTTCTCTCCTGTGACATTTCTAGAGCGCCGAAGCAGCCCCGCCTAGGCTCTCCTGATGCTTCTATCCTAACCTCTTCCTGTTTCACTATCCCTAGCTCTAATAAACGTGCTCTCAAAAAAAGAGTGTGTGGCCCTGGCCGGTTTGGCTCAGCGGTTAGAGCGTCGGCCTGTGGTCCTGAGAGACCCGGGTTCAGTTCCCGCTAAGGGCGCGTACCTCGGTTGCAGTTTGTCCCTGGCCCTGGTCGGTTGTGCGGGTGGCAGCCACTCGATGTGTTCCTTTCACATCGACGTTTCTCTCTCTCTCTCTGTTCCTCTCTCTCCCTCCCACTCTACCTGAACAAAAAATGGAAAAATGTCCTCAGGTGAGGATAAAAAAAAAAAAAGTGTGTGTACATTTTGTCATCTAGTTACTTTTGTTTAAATATTTATTTTGCAGTGGTGATGCTAGAAAATGAACTGATGTATGGAGTTCCTTTTGAATTTCCCCCAGAAGCTCAGTCAAAAGATTTTCTGATTCCTATTGGAAAAGCCAAAATAGAAAGGCAAGGTAAGAGAACTTAGTATATGTTTAGACATTGTTTGTAATCTAACCCCTTTTATTTGTGTTATTCGGATCAGTCTAGACTGTATTGCCCTTTGACTAGGGAAGTACAGGATAAGTTCAAGATAAGAATGTGTCATGCCTAATTGCTCATACCCTTGTGCTTTTCTAAGTCTTAATCCAGTATATTTGTATTTCATTTCTAAAAAGATTGCCACATTCCTCATATAACTGGAATGAAGCTGAGTTGAAGATTTTACAAATGAACTTAATTTCAACCTGACTTCTGATCTGTGACCACTTTATTTCAGGGACACATATAACTGTAGTTGCCCATTCAAGGCCTGTGGGCCACTGTCTAGAAGCTGCGACAGTGTTATCTAAAGAGGGAATTGAATGTGAGGTGAGTGGACATTTGAAAGATTCCTTTTAAATTTAAGACCCAGAAACAGGAGTTTGAGTTCTATAGTAGGTTAACTATAATCTTGCTTTGTCACTCAGTTCTGCCTTTGCTTAAAGCTGGGAACCTTTTTTTCCCCCCAAATACGTATCTTTTTACCATCTAGGTTCTTGATCTTTTAGAATAGTACCTGCTTTCTAAAGTTAAGATCCAATGTTGGAGCTGGAGATTGGGAGAAGGGGAAACTAAGAAATCAATGAGTCTAATCCGCCCAGGCCAGTTTTGCTCAGTGGTTAGAGTGTTGGCCATGGACCAGAGAGTCCCAGGTTCGGTTCCCTTAAGGGCACCTTGTCCCTGGACCCGGCTGAGGTCGTGTGGGTGGCAACCACTGATGTTTTTCTTTCTCTCTCTCCCTCCCTTTCTTCCACTTTATCTGAAGATAAATGCAAAAATGTCCTTGGGTGAGGATTAAAAAAAAGAGTCTGATCCTTTCATAACAAGGACCTACTACTTCTTAGTTACATTTGGGCAAGTTATGTACTCTAAATCTCAAAAGATTTGGAGTGACAGGAGCTTAGAAAGAACAGCTGAGGACCCTGGCGGTGTGGCTCAGTTGGACATCATTTCACGCACCTAACGGTTATTAGTTCAATTCCTGGTCAGGGTACATGCTTGTGTTGCGGGCCTGATCCCCAGTAGGGGGCGTGCAGGAGGCAGCCAATCAATGTTCTGCTCTCACTTTGATGTTTTTCTCTCTCTCTCCCTCTCCCTTCTCTCTAAAAATCAATGAAAAAAATATTTTTAAAAAAGAACAGCTGAGGGAGCGCTGGCTCCAGAGAATGGGGATAGTATGTTTCCTGTCCCATCAAGGTGGTTGTGAGAATTATACTTGAGCAGTCAAATCTTAGTTACTATGTTGGTGAGAAGGAAGTTAAAGCCAAGGGAGGATTAAGTTAACAAGAGCTGCTTGTAGTAGAGATCAAGATTTTTGTTTTAATTAAATTTCCCCTCTTAGATCTTCTTTATGAATAGGCAGATTAGATTTTCCTAGACCTAAAGATTAATAGGAAACCAAAAGTGGTATTATGGGGATAAGACTATATTTATGATGCAGTTACTCTGCAAAGCTTATCTATTACATTATCTGTTTAGGTGATAAATTTGCGAACCATCAGACCAATGGACGTTGAAACAATAGAAGCCAGTGTCATGAAGACCAACCACCTCGTAACTGTGGAAGGAGGCTGGCCACAGTTTGGAGTAGGAGCTGAAATTTGTGCCAGAATCATGGAAGGTATTTCAGAGAAACTGGTTTTAGAATCGTTAAGGTGTATTAAAATAAACACTGTGTACCTGGACACTAGATAAAGAAATTAAAAGCTAAAAGAGGCCAAATGACTTGAATTTTCAATTTGTCAGCTTGGCAATTTTTCTTTGGGTAAATGTTTTACAAAGCAAAACCAGAAACAATCCCCAGTAATTAGCATTCCTTCAGATTCTTGTCTTTGGGCAGCCACACCGTTTGTGCCAAGGTGTTGGTGTTCAGCTGGCTCTTCTTGCCTCTCTCAGTTGCTCCTTCTCTCCTAGGGCCTGCATTCAATTTCCTGGATGCTCCTGCAGTTCGAGTCACCGGTGCTGATGTCCCTATGCCTTATGCAAAGATTCTGGAAGACAACTCTGTGCCTCAGGTTAAAGACATCATATTTGCAATAAAGAAAACATTGAATATCTAGTTTAGACTTGAATATCAAGTCATTGGGATTTATTTAAAATACTTGCTGACACTACCTGGATTGAACTGTAAGATCTTATTATTCATAAATGTTTTTGTACTGGGAAGTTTAAATGTGATTGTACGTGGAAAAACTCCATTCTTACTGCCCTAGACTCCATGCCTCGTTTTATCTGTTACAACTGCCACTTCTTTGAATAAGATTAATGTATAATTTTACCCCCTCACTAGACGGACAAGGTAGGAGTGTGGCAGAGTCCTGATGAAAGATATGTATAAAAAAATGACAATTTGTATGTAAAAAAAAGCATATGATCTACATTTACTGCTGGATTATTTTGATAAGGAATAAAGGAATGCCTGTAACTAACTAATTGTATTTTTATATTCTTGAAAATAAATGTGGGTGGAAGTCTAAACATTCTACTAAGAAATTAGTGTCATCAGGAACTAATCATTAATTGCTTAGATCACATCACGCTTACAACAGGAATTTGTCCATACTCTTCAAATGCTTATTCTAATAGGGTTTCCTTTAAAATGAAAGCAAAATTCATGTCAGGTATTTTCCCATTGTCAAGAAAACAGACCTCTTGCTATACACTGTCCTCTTTAGAAATTGAGATGGAAAAGACAGGTTTAAATTAGTTACAAAAGCCCTGGCCGGTTTGGCTCAGTGGTTAGAGCGTCGGTCTGCAGAGAGACCCGGGTTTGGTTCCCGCTAAGGGCACATACCTCAGTTGCAGTTTGTCCCCGGCCCTGGTTGGGTTGTGCGGGTGGCAACTACTCAATGTGTCCCTTTCACCTCGATGTTTCTCTCGCTCTCTCTCCCTCCCACTCTATCTGAACAAAATATCAAAAAAAAAAAAAAAATGTCCTCGGGTGAGGATAAAAATAAATAAATAAATTAGTTACAAAAGCATACAAATGGTGCCTTATTTATTTATTTACTTAGTGGTACATGCCTCTAGCAGGAACAGAACCCGGGACTCTCTAATCCGCAGGCCAACGCTGAGCCAAACCGGCCAGGGCCCAAATGGTGCCTAATTTAAACAGCAAGACAGAATTGGTAGCTCATTAAGAGGGAAAATATGACACAGAAGGAATAGAGATAGAATAGGTGGGAAGAAAACTAGAAAGACTGTGGATCTGGTCTTTATTTACAAACGGTACTACAAAAAGTTCCCATTGAAAAGATTAGCCAAGATACAGACAACCAATTTTCTTGACATGGTTTATTTTAATAAAAAATACAGCTGAACATATTTATCACAGATTACATGAAACTATAGACAGTGACATTCTCTGCATAGTAACCAACACTGATGTGTGTATTTGAATTTTAAATGGATTACTTATAATCCTTTAAAGTGCAGTTTAAGGATTTAAGCAAATCATAGGATAAAGGATTTTTCTAATAAATGAGTAACACTTAAAGATGATGTATTTGAATAAATCTTTAAAAAAAATCAGAATCCTATAAATGCCAGATTCACTTGTGTTGTAACAATAATTCCCCACAAAATACAAACTTAATTGCTGAGGAGTAAGATCCTCTAATTGGCAAGAGTATTCTCTGATGTTATTTTTGTCTGTTCAATGCATTCTAACTATAAGGAACTATGAGTCTAGAGTAGTGCTTCAGCAGTCCCGAGTTTCGAAACCACAACAGTATTCCCCTTAGAGAATGTTACGAGTTGCTTCTCTGACTCAGCGATACAACTACACTTTGGGCTGCAGTGTTAATGCCGCAGATGAAATTAACGTAGCAGAAATGGGAGTTAGGATCTAAGAAATAACCAGAAAATGCTCTAAGAAATAAACTATGAGAGGAATGTTTCTAGGAGCTTTCTGATGACATGGAAGGATTGCAACACAAAGGCCATTCATGGCTGTGACTGAATCTTATTGTTTTTGTTTTTGTCCATTTTCTTCAGTTGGTAGAACTATCGATCCCGATATGCAGCTGCCCCCCAAAGATGCCCATTAGAGGATGAACAACTCCTTTGAAATAGTGATAAAGGAGCAAAATATTTTTTAAGGCAGCAACGCCAGCCTGATTTCAATCTCCTTGAAGATATCTCCCTCTTGAAAAGCCCTTGCATGAGCATCTGCAAGAGGGTGTGGCTGTACTGGCTCAGCAACTGTTCATCTAGGAAGAGACTTTAGTGGTTGGAGGAGCACAGAAAACAGAAAAGAACTTTTCCCTCCAAGTGTAAACACGAAGCTTTAACCAATCTTAGGAGCACTGTGATCACAGGTTTCGGCTTTCCTCAAAGTTCCTTTTTGGAAATTCTGGATGGAGCTGAGTAAGGCCCCTCGGCTCACGCCATTCACAGCCTGGGTCTGGAGCTGTGTGGCCACCTCTGTGCCCGAAGGAGGCAAGGGAGCTGCTGGTGGTGGAGGCGGAGGTGGAGGAGGTGGAGGTAATGTGGAAGTCCCTGCAGAGGAAAAAGGGGACAGTCAGCATCACCTCCAAACACCCTGCATAGTGCTACTGCTCAGTCCTGGGCAGAACACACTTTAGTGAGACTGCAAGTGTTTTCCCTCAGAGGGACCAACATGCCCAGTATTGTGTGATTTTTTAAATATGAACAGGCAAGCTAGAAGCATCAAAGGGGGAATTTAAATAAAGGTTGCCATTTCTCTCAAATAACAGTCATGTGAGAAAAGACTGAACAAATATCACATACTGACATTCTCTCAGCATAGATGAGGCTCTAAGTCCATTTCCAAATTTTAGTAATGTCCCCAAAGAAAATCTAACCAGCTACATTAGCAAGGTCTGGGACAGCTCCACCTACTCCTGAGGTAGCAATTAAAGGTAGACATCTGTATGCAGAGTTGGGCTGCCTGAATACCAATTAATAATAAGGGATGAACAGTTCTTTAGATGCTCCAACACACACAATATTTGAAGGATGTGATTTAATATAAAATGACAAACCATTCCATATTCTTGGCAAAGAACCAGTGCCTGCCGGGTTATGGGTTCCCCAGGGGCACCTGTCTTGAATAACCATTTCCTATTAGGATGCATTAAAAAAATATAAAAAACTAATAATTATTGCAATGCAAATAGAGGGCAAAGGGCTTCTTCCTCCAACAATGGTGTAGGGAGGAGTCTTTCCACTGTGGCCCAACCCAGGAACAATGCAGCTACACTAACGCGACATCTTCGCTGAAGCATCAGGAGAGACTGGATGCCGAGCTCTGCCCTCGTGGGCAAGGAGAAGGGAACTGGACGGGTGTCTAAAACTTCCCTTAGCTTCCAGGCACACAAACATTTGGTACTTGAATGTTACAGTTCTGAATGAATGAATGAACTGTTCTCCCAGGAAAAAATAAACACTGCGTACAGAAAAAGCCCTCCTTAGGGAACGTGCCTGTGCCACTGAGTTCGTCGCCTCATTTCCTGTGAACCTTGCTGCTCTTGGTGACACCACCCATCTGTTTTCTAGCCTTACCCTCTAACCCTTCTGAGGGCTACACAAGGGAGACATTCTGCTAGGTGGTTACCCCCTAAACTGCTACTGAGCTGAGGTGCTAACAGGTAAAAACATACCAATCACCTCGTGTCTTTATACGGATGAGTGGTTCAGGATTGCCAATAAAATACTTAGGGGTAAGTGCATGACAGACAACGGTTAAATGGTTAAAATCTTGGGTTTCACAGAAAACCACTTACCTTTCTTTACATCTTTACCCAAACCTAAGGCAGCTGAAATTAAAGAATCACACAGATACACAGACTCATACTCTGCAGTCTTGGAATTCTCAAATGATGATATAGCAATACAAATAAGCACTAAACAGACAAATGAAGAAAATGTAATTTCTGTTGGTTCTATACAATAACTAATGAATGAAGTTCGATTATGTTCCATGCCAGGGTGGAATGTGGACAATGTTCCTGGCTTTACGTCTCAGGGTTACAAAGATAAGAAGGACTTTAAACCTAAAATGGGGGCTGGGTGAGAAGAGCGGGGATGTGACATAAGCAATCCTCTGGAAGGCATTTCCGGATAGTGACCAGTGAAACCCGGAGGAGGGGCGACGGCACCTCTGAAGGCTCAGGGAGCCTGGAGGAGCAGGCACCCCCCACCTTGATCCAATGACCAGAAAAGGGCAGCAGATTCTGGACTTGACACTCAGGGCCCAACATGGACAGATGAGCATGAGCGTCTCTGCCTTCCAGCTTTGAGCCCGGCAGAACAGTCCCTGAGGGCTGCAGGTGAGGAGACAGGCTCTGGGCTGCAACAGCACTTGTGTCCTGAAGCCAGGGAACTGGCCACCCGGAGACGGCCCCCTCCAGCCCAGGATTCTGGGAGGCTAGAAATGGGCCTCGGGGGCTGGGCTTGGGTATGGGCTGTCACCTCAGGCAAAACTGCTCGACCCGCACAAGGAACAAACCCTTGACTGTGGCTTCATCACCAGGAGCTCAAAATTAAAAGTGTGAATTCACTACCACAGCATTTGGGAGTTGAGGGTGGTGGTCAGTGAATGAATCTTCATTTTCTAAGTAAAGGCTGATTTTCACCACTTTCAGGAAATTTCTTGGAATATTAGGTAGTATAAACAAATACCCCGCCCAAAGTGCCACAGGGTAACCTGTGTCTGTTAGCAAATGGGGTGCTGAGGGCTGTGCGAAAGGAGACACTGCCCATCCAGGGGCAGAGAGCAAGGTCACAAGGTCACCACGATGTCCGCTCACAGAGGGCTGGATTCACTGCGCTGTGCCCCGACACCCACTTTTCCTCCCCGTGCCTGCAGCCACTAGAGCAGATCCTGGGGGTGTGGTCAGGACAAGGGAACGCAACTGCCAGCTCAGAGCACCCTGGGGGGAGAGGAGGACCAGGAGTCAGAAGGTCAGCTGTGGAGGAGGCAAGAATACAGATTCTGGGACTCGCAGTCTCTGACTACAGGCCCGTCAACTTTTTTTTGCGTTTTCTTTTTGCCTTTTCTATAGTCCACAACTTCCTTTACAGGCTCATTGCGGCTTCAGCTCCAACACTGGTAACAACGGGAGGAGGGAGGAAGGGTAACGGGGCCCAGTCCAGAGTTGGCTCTTGGGCCTGCGACAAACCTGAGAACTACCTAATTCCTGAGCGCCCCCATTCCTCCAATGTGAACGAGCTCCTCCCCAACAAGAGGCTTCCAACAGCCCTCATGCCCAGGCCACAGACAGAACCAGACAGCCTCCATGTTAGGTGATTACTAACTGAACTCGCACAGCTATGAAAGCTGTTCTGTAACAGCGCAGGAGGAGTGAGGCTCCAGAACGGCTCGTTCACGGTTATAACCTGGTCAGGCCTAATCTCTCCGATCTCACTTTCCTTAGACAAAACCCCCACGAGCCAGCCACTGTGTCCGCCCAGAATCCCGTCTCCCAAACCAAATGAGAAACTGACAGTCCAGCTGCGGCCCTGGGACAGGCCCCTGACTGGTGCACCAAGAGCACAGAGGAGAAGCATCCTTGCCAGCCTGTGGAAAGGACGTCTCAGGGTCCCCTTTCCCTGGGCCAGTTTAGCGATCTACAGGTCTCTGGAAGTCTGCTCCTTTGTCCCCACAGCGGTGGGGAGGCCACACCAGACCGCCAGCTACCCTCGAGGGAATGGAGAGCAGCGGCCCCTGGAGACAGGCAGCACCCAGCTCTTGGGATCTGCCTTCCCCTTTGTCTCAGTTAGATGAGGAGGCTGCACCCGTGTCCCAACTCAAGAATTATTACGAATGCTTAAAAAATGACTGCTTTTCCTTGTTGTCCGTCATAAAGCCAGTACGCTGTCTCTCTGTAACCAAGAACTCAACTGCCTAGCACCCTCTCCCCTTCATCAGATAACAAGGAACCAGGATTTTTGCAGCAACAGGACTCTGAGATCCTAGTTTCCAAAATTAAACCACACCAAAATGCCATACAGTTGATCTTTAGGCTTTAGAGTTGTATTTTAAAACTAAAATTAGTGAAATGAAGATTTTGAAGGTCATGATGGAAATGAAATGAATGTAAATGAAGTTGCTGGGGTGCTTTTTAAAGATGCTGTCTTTCATTGAAATGTTCAGATAGGAAATAGTTTTGAATCTGCTTCCCCATTTGCTCATCACTTCGGTGACTGGACGTGCTAGGTCCCAATTCACATTCACAATCACAAACAGCATCTTTAAAGTGCGAGGAGTCAGTACTGCGTACTTTACCGAGAACTCACGTTCAGTACGGCGCATGCTCTACTGAAAACAGCAAAGAGAGAGAGAGGACACAGTCATTATTCAGATTTTAGTGCCATTTAATCACATAGTAAGAGACAATAAAATATTAGTCTGAGTCACATGCTGATTATGCTCACTGTCAAACCAGGAGATATGTAAATTCAGCACGAAACGCATTGGTTTGTAGACACGAGCGTGACCTTGGTAGAACACGGCAAGCATACTAACGTGGTAACCAATGAGCCACTTTCTTCCTCACATTCTTTTTTTTTTTTTCCTTTTTCTGAGCCAGTTAGGTGCTATTTTTACTTATTTACAAGGGCAACAGTCACTTCAGAAGACCCACGAAGGTCTTACCCCCCCCTGAAAAGTACCGTGGGTACTAGGAGTACCCTTGTCTATTACCGAATAAGGGCAGTTTATCAAGAGGGGAGAAAAGGAGGCCTCCTCCCTTTTTTCCAGGTGACGCTTCTATTGTACACAACGGAGGCATGTCTTTCAAGGGCTGGAGGCTGAACTGGGCAGTTTGTGGCATTAGCTTACGTAAGGCCATACAACCATTAAAACAAATAAACAGACGAAAACAAAACGAGGCAAACGTTTTTCCTGTCTAGATTCCAGGTGAAATTCCAAGGATAACCCTTTCCCGGATGGTGAACCCTAGAGTCCCTCCTGAACCAATCTGCCCACTGCCAACAGGAAGTGAGGCCCTGTGGGGTGGGTCACATGGTGCAGCAGGAGGATGCTGGGGACGCTGCCCCGCCCCGCCCCGCCCCCACCCCACCGCAGGGCTAGGGAGCAGCCGGCACACTGGGGCCTGAAAAGCGGTGGGGAGGGCTGCGAGAGCAGGAGGGCAGACAGCACGCCGTCCAGGGAAGTCCTGCTCATCCCGAAGACGGAGACTGCTCTGTGTCTCTGTAGGTTTTGAAAAAATTTCTTATGGCTAGAGACATCAATGTTGAGCCTAAAGTGGCTTTCAGACTCTGATTTGGCTACACAAATTCTGGACACGCTAACATTCTAAAAGTGTCATCTTTTTTGTGTGTGCTTTATTTATTCTGAACCCTCCACCCTGTTATTCAAGCCCTCAGGCACTCTGTGCCCAGAAGGCTCCATTTTCCCTCCGGCTCCTGTCCAGATACGAAAATTCCCTCTCTTTCCAGGCATTTTTGCAGACTGGGTTTTCTACAAAATGTCAGCTCTCTCTCTTCAAAATTTTTGCTTAAAATGATAAACAGTAAGCAAGAAGGGCTAGAATTTTCTTGCAGGGCATTCGTGGCTTGTACTTGATAGCACTTTACTGCTTATAAAGCCTTGTCATGTACATTATCTACCTAGTAAAGACCAGGAAATCTTTTTTTTCCAATGTTTTTATTGACTTTTGAGAGAGAGAGAGAGAGAGAGAAACATGGATTGGCTGCCTCCTGCACGTCCCCCACTGGGGATTGAGGCCAAAACCCAGGTATGTGCCCTGACTGGGAATCAAACCAGGACCTCTCAGTCCATGGGATGACACTCAATCTACTGAGCCACACCGGCCGGGCAAGACCAGGAAATCTTTTAAAAGACAGCTTTAAAGAGTACGAATTACTTCTCCACACTGGCCAGTGGTGGAGCTACAAACCAGGCCTGGCGTTTCTGACTCTGCTTTCGGGGTTCTCCTGCCACCAAGCACCGTGTTCACAAGCACAGGCCATGCAGTGTGCCCCGGGGGTAGGTGAGCAATGACACCGCCGGTCTAACCCTGGCAGTAGCATCCCCCACTTGTGTGACCTTGGTCAAAGCCCTTCAACCCCACTAGAGCCTCAGTTTCCTTGTCTGTACCATGGAGCTCCAGAAGAATCCACGCTCCTTGGACCGCAGGGTATTCGTGAGGATCACATGAAATGACCGCACGTCCCTTAGAGCCTGGCACAAAGCAAGCACTCAAGATGTGTTACAGACGACAGGAAAAACGACAAGAACCTAGGACCTCCTGCTCACTTAACTTCCCTTAAATACTCTTTTGCAAACCTGTTTAAAAAAAATAAAAAACACAACAGCGAGGCCTGCCTGCTCCAAAGGGAGAGTGAGAGGGAATATTTGTGTTGTAAACTGGCACCTTCTAAACCACTCATCTCTCTGAATTTAGAGTGGAAACAGTAGTCGGTGACATGTACCATGAAATAAGTCAGGATAAAGAATTTTAAAGTTCTTGAAAGAGTGACCTTCTAGAGGCAGGAAACACAACCTTTAGCACAAAATAAAGTGCTAGGAATGTTCTCACTGAAAAAGAGGTTTAGAGCATTCCACCCCACCTAAGGAACCTCGAGCAGACTTAGGGCAAGGACCTCAAGAAGAGGCCCGGGCATGGAGGCACAATAAATCAGGAGGGGCCCCAGACCTCCTACAAATGCTGGAAAGGGCTCATGAGGGTAAGACCACTTCACTTACAAACACCTGTCACTTCTGCCCCATCCTAAAAGTAACTGAGCTTAAGACCACCCTCAACTACCAGGAATGTGCTTAAAACGGACTCTTTCAGGAAAAAAGGCAAAGCTGTGGAAATGAATTTGCCGAAGCTGATCTGTGCTCAGCAAACCGTCAAAGGCAGGCCCACTGCAGATGTAGAGAATGCCTGATTAGAAGGAACTGTGAGCAGCCTCCTCTAACTCCCACCCTTTCCCCTTTCCCCGAGGAGGTAAGGAAACGTGGAGAGTGACTCATTCGAGGTCTCCTGGTAACTCAGGGTGCCGGGGCTTGCTGTGTGCAGACGCTGATCTAACCTCCTGTTCACTGATCCCCTCGCTAACCCTGACCCTGAGCAGGCATCTCCTTATCCTCATTTACAAATAGCAAACCCCGAACACAGGGAGCTTTAGCATCCTGTGCAAGGTCCCAGAACTAGCAAGTGGTGGCTCTTAAGTGTACATTCCCTGGGCCAAGGTGTACTTCCCAAGAGCTCCCACACTGAGTTGTGTTTGAGGTGCCACTTTTAGTGGGGATTCTTTTTAAATCCTAGTCCTTGAGAAAGAAGAATTTTCCTTCTTTTCTTGAGAAAACTACGTATCATCACAAAGCTGAAAGGCTCTTTAATTTAGTTCCCAGAGAGACCATAAACTTGGCCTAGAAGTAAAAACACACATTGGAGTAAATGATTCCAGCAACAAGATGGGCAGCACTCAGAGAGGCAGCGAGAAAGACGAGCCCAATGAGAAGCCCGGCCTCCAGCCCTGGAAGGGAGGACCCTTCTAAGCAGGCACTGATGAGCCAGAAGTTGCCCCCCTGGGCTGAGATTCTGCTTTCACCCTGCAGAGGCCTTGAAGGCAAAGCAAGTCCGAGCAAATCACCCACAAGGATTTACCGAGCACCTCCCACAGTATAGGAGCACGAGGGCTACCACCTGAGGCCTTGCACAGAACAGAAGCTTGAGATGTTGCTTGTTGGTGGACTCGTTTTTCAAGTGGATTTTCTATTTAAGGAGAACAATTGGGAAACAGTTTGTAAGAAAAAGTTGCCATGGCTGGACCCCAGAGAAAGCATTTGCTGAAGTGTGTCTATCATTTTGGTGCTTCCAACAGGCACTGGAAAGTGACTCCATGCCAGCTAGGGCCTTGCCTGTCTGATCATCTTTGTAACCCAGGGCCAAGCACAGTGCCAGGCACATGGCAGGCTCTCAATAAATGCATCTTGAGTAAATGAATGAATAAACTCACTGTGCGTGCCCCACATAGGGGTTGACAGGCAAGGGCTGCTTATCATTTTTCATGATATGCATTACAATAAATGCCCAGCAGAGGTCAGAGAAGTGCCTCTGGGGGGCCCAGTTGATAATTCCATCCACAAAGCATTAAAGGAAAGGAGCTAGTATTTGCTGGGAACATTTCATGTCTGCCAGGCATTATGCTTGAGGCCTCATATATGTTTTCCCTCTGAATGCTTATGACTCCCCTTCAAGACAGATTATTATCAAATTCACAGTAATGCTCCCAACTGCTCCCACTCACCTCAGACAGTTTTTCTGACATTGACTCTAATGACTTCTCCTCTCATTCTAAAAGTTACTTCACCTCATGAAAATTGGCTATGTATGAGATAGCCCCCTTCAAACCACAGGTAAATGAGAGGATTAACAACAACAAATACAAATAGACTGAATTTCCCAAGGTGTTGACAAAAGAGAACTGGCATTAACTCCCCAGAACCACACCTAGTGTGCATGCCAAGCACTGCTAAACAGACACCTCGCCTGTTAAAGGAGGGTTCATGGGATCTCTCTATTCATTCTCTCCGATGTCCTTACATGTCTAAGTGGTGTGGAATTAATACCCCGTCTACTAGAAAACGGCTCAACATGATCTAGGCAGCAGATGTCCAGAAATTTCTGATCAGCCTATACAGGTCACCTCTACAAAAGACACAGAAGTCTATTTTCTGTCTTGATCAATATTTGGGGGCTTTCTTGTAAAAATCTGCTGACAAAGTCAGACAGGGAAAAAAACATCATCCCCATGAGCCAGGCACTTTGCTACTCAAAATAGGTGGTGGCTCCAGCCGGCTCACGCAGCCCCAGCAGCTGTCCTCAGCCAGCAGGCATGAACCCACCAGCCAGGAGCGAGCTGTTCAGCGGGTCCCCTTACATCTGCTTGTATTTTTTAGGAAGGTCAGTTAGAAGCATGAGAGCTGCCGGACAATGATGTACTTGCTAGCTCCCGGGTGCCGCCTCAAACCTTAATGAATGTGATGTCAACTCCTTACCAACCCCAGCCAATGACTCTCCTTCAGACAGCTGCAGCAACTTCCACGTATAGTGACAAGCTCTGAGTGGCAGAATCAGCTCCTCTTACATCTAAAACATCTGGTTCATTTAACAAAGAAGATACTGGCACTCCAGTGTGTTTTTATGGGGCTTACAAAATGGTTAGGAGAGAGATATCAGTTCAAAACAAAAGGAGGGAAGAGAGCGTTATGAGGCCACACCACAGACTTAGAGATTATTTTTTATAAGTATTCCCCGAGATAGATTTTTTCCTACATTTTTCCAACAAAACTCGTAGTATCTGATTTAATTCACAAAGGTGAACAAAGGCTAGCCACAGAAGACTACCCAGATGATTAAATGCATCGCAGAGCAGAAAAGACCACAAGAGTTACCAGGAAATGGGAAATCGGCGGTTATTCACACCCACACCTGGCATCTCACCAGTTTCGCTGTGACAACACCAACACTAAAGCTGGGTTCCCTGAGGAGAAAGCTCAGGCAGGGCCGGGCCCCTGGGCAGCAGTACGACTGCACCCAGACGAGCTCTGATCTGCGAAGCCCTGCAGGAGGCTTTCGGCAGAGAGCAAGACAGCAAGCCTGGGGTACAGGGTGGTTAGTGACCCTGACACCAACTATTTCATTCCCAGGAAACCGAGTCTGTAGGCCCAGACCCGCCCAGGGGCACTGCTACCGTGCACTCCCACCGGCTCTCTGGAGAAGGCTGGCACCATCTAACCCCCACAGGCTGGGGCCCAGCTGAGAAGAGAAAGCCCTGCTCCCCCTCCTGTTCGTGGAGAGCCAGGGGAAGGCAGGCTACTGTGCCTCCATCACTAACCTGCTGTGGAAGGTGGAGTTGGCGATGACGGGGATGTGAGAGGTGAGCTGGCCCCAGATCCTGCTAAGAGAAAACACAGAAACATGCATGGGGACCAGGAAAGACATCTGGAATTTGGCCCAAGCTGGGTCCCACCACTGTCTGAGAATCTGCTCTGGGTCAGGGTGTGGGCCTGGTGGTAAACGTTGAGGAGGGACAGAGAATTCAGGGACTGGACCAATGACCACAGGCTTCCACTCCAGGACAGGGCTGGGGTTAGGGTTGGGCTGCTCCCCACAGCTTGCTTATTTGAAGCCAACTTTGCAAAGTCAACAGCTATGCAGTTGGTAGCAGTCCCTCTTCCTGACCCAACCCCTATCCCCGAGTAACAAATGACAAATGACAGTGCCCCAGCAATGCTCTACGTAGAAGTCTCATTTTCTCAGTGGGTACATTCAGTTAGATAGGGTCAGCCTATTCAGTTGGATTTCCCAGGCCTTTCTTACCTAAAATTCAATACCCTTATTTACATTAAAACAATGTACATATTCCCATATATTGTATGCATCTCCTGTACCCAGTCACCTCGTTGTATTTCAAATATTCCCAAGTTCTCACCATCTCCCTAGTGCTCAGAATCCCCAGAATATATCCTGCTGGCCTAACATGGAAGTCGCCCAATGAGCAGACAGAGGTTCCTACATAAGACCCCTCCTCCACACGGAGGTCCTATCAAGGGTCAACCGTACTCCAGGGAGGGTTGTGTTCACGCCCCAGAGAAACCACTAGCTGCTCTGGGGAAGCCTCCAATCCCCTCACCCACTACCTACAGGACCTGCTGACATGGCTTGGACACCGGGCCCGAGGAGACATGTCCTACTTCAACCACACCGCCTCCTTTCCACTATTTGCAATATTCTCTCACCTCCCTGTAAACTATAAGAGGCATTTTACGGCAAAGGAGGTAAAACGCAACCCATCCTGGTTTCATACTGCTTGGCAGTGATAACATAGATTTTAACGGGGAGAAGGCTGAATTTATGAGTCCAGAGGGTCTGGAGATGACCTGCACATTTCCATCAACTGCTACTGCACTTTCCTAAACTCCATGGGGCACGGTGACTGGAGCAGAGGACAGGACTTAGGACCACTTCTGTTCAAGCAGGCTCCACTGAAGAACAGGACACCGTGAATTTCAAGTTGGGTTGTTTTTTTCCCGTGGATAATGCTCATCTTTGGTTGATCGAGTCCTGCCATCAGTGAAGAGGCTGGCTAACCCAATAACCGCTGAGACCCCTTCCAGCGCTAGGGTCCTGGGAGCCGTGGATGCTATCGTAATCCTTCATTAGGGACAGAGTTCTTGTGTTTTCTACATTTGTTACCACACTTTAGATACCAGAACCCAAAATGCTTTGACCAACTAGACTCCCATTCCTGGTCTTTGGGTGCTGGGCTCCACTATAAATATAACCAGTTACCAGTTACCTGAATTATTGGAGTTGCTATATTTTGCTGAATGTTCTTCACTATTTTCAATAGCAGATCGTTTTGACTTCTTTAAAAATAAAGGGGAGGGGGGCAAAGAGTCAACACACTGAAGTTGAAAGTTAGAATACAAATATTTCTAGGCACACAGTTAAACTATCCACACACAAGATCATATTTGGCCTCATAACTTAATACAGTGACGAAGTCACAAGCCAAAGCCAAAGGGGAAAATAAAACCGACATGCTGACTATTATGTCAGGCCAATCACTCCCCCCAGTTACATTAGGCCAAAATCAGCCCAGCAAGCCGGGAAGCTATATGGCCCATTTCTTTCCTGATATTATATAGCTCCTTTTGTAAAAACTACAAACCAGTTATCTGCAAACAGTTTTAGCTTTCAAGGAGATATAGCACAAAATCTGTCATTAACTAAATGTGCACCGTTGACACAGAACTTTCTTCACGTAGAATCCAGAACGTTTACTTCACACGGAGAGAGTTCAGAGAGGCAGCAGGCTTACCTTTCGAGCTAAAATCTTTCTCTTTTTTCTTTCTTCTTCAGATCCATGGTGAGACTGAGCTCTTGTCAGTCTTCGATGCTGGTGAATCTATAAGAGAACACAGTTCACCACAAGTGTAAGCATATCCTTCACTAACGAAATCTAAGGTGTCTTGCCAAATCAAATTACTTGGATGGAAAATCTTTCCCTGCTCAGCCCGTTTGCCTCCCAGGGCAGGTGTGGATGCCTGGGAGAGAGCATGCCTGAGGGTGAGGCCCTTCCTCACGCCCCCCACTTCCCTCCGGCCTCTTTCTCTTACAGGAGAGGAGTGTGGTCCCCAGCACCTTCAGAGCGGGGACCAGGCGTGCTCACCATGGCCCAGCTGCCCCATCATAAAGGATCAACACCCTTTATGGACCTGTTTGCTTCCCCACAGGCTGAGCTCCTCGCGGGAAGGACAGGGAAAGATTCAGCTGTGTCCCAGCACTGAGCCTGGAGCCTGGTTCAGAGCCACTGTGGGAGAAATGTTTGTGGCCTGAACAATCAGTTAAAAGTAAATCACCGTGAATTCTAGGCAGAGGATGACAACACTGAAAGATCGAAGGACAAGAAGAAACTACGTGCAATTTACCTGTTTCTGTTCTTCAATTAGTCTCTTTTCTATACATTCTTTGGCAATTCTCAGTGCCTCTTTTAACTTCGTGGGGATCTGAAAGAGGAGAAAGTACAGAATCTATTGAGGAAAATGGCTGGAGATTCTCCCAAATCCTGGTTTTAAGGAAGGAGCTGTTGGTTATCAAGAAGGAGGGCATCTGGAACAAAATCCGTTCTAAGCTGTCCACTTGAATCCTGTCCTGGCCACTTTTGGTATCGCCAACACACTCAACTCATTAGTATTTCGTATCAATAAATATATAAAATTAATACAAAAATAGACATGATGTATGTTTCAAGTATTTCACCTAATTCTCAAGGGACCCTGAATTACCAAAACAATCTTGAAAAGAAGATAAAAATTGAAGGCCTCTCACTTCTGGATTTCACAACATATTACAAAGCTGCAGTAATCAAAACTGTGATACTGGCATAAAGAAAGACATATAGATTAATGGAACAGAACAGAGAGCCTAGAAATAAACCCTCATGTATATGATCAAATTATCTTTGACAAGGGTGCCAAAGGCACACAATGGGGAAAGGACAGTTTTTTCAATAAATGATGCTGGGAAAATTGGATGTCTACATGGAAGAGAATGACCCTTACACCACATACAAAACTTAGCTCAAAGTTGGACTGAAGACCTACAACCATAAAACTCCAGAAAAAAGCACAGGGGAAGAGCTTCATGTACTAGATTTGGCAGTGATTTCTTGGATAGGACACTGAAAACACAGGCAACAGAAGCTAAAATACACAAATGGGACCACATCAAACTTAAAACTTCTGCACATTAATAGAAACAATGAACAGAGTGAAAAGGCAACCTATGGAATGAGAGAAAATGATTGGAAATCATGTATCTCATAAGGGATTAATATCCAGAACATATAAAGGATTCCTATAATTTAACAACAAAAACATAAGTAACCAAATTTTAAAAATAGATTATACCACAATAAAGCTGGAAAACAACAACAACAAAAACAGGCAGAGGACCCAAATAGATATTGTTCCAAAGAAGAGATACACATGGCTAATGAAAGCATATGAAAGATGATCAACATCTCTAATCATTAGAGAAATAAAATCAAAACCACAATGAGATATCTCCTCATACACATTAGAATGGTCACTACTGGGGAAAAAATAAAAATATGTTTGGGAAGGATGTGGAAAAACTGGAACCTTGATGCACCACTGGTGGGAATGTAAAATGGTACAGCTGCTATGGAAAATAGTATGGAAGTTCCCTCAAAAAAATCTAAAAATAGAACTTTGCACATGATCCAGCAACTTCTAGGTATATATCCAAAAGAATTGAAAGCAGGATCAAAGCACACCCATGTTCACTGTAGCATTATTCACAATAGCCAAGAGGTGAGATATTCATCAACAGATGAGTGGATTAACAAAATGTGGTATATACACACAAGGGAATATTACTCAGCCTTAAAAAAGAAAATCCTGTCACGTGCCATAACATGAATAAAATTTAACTTTATACTGAGTAAAATAAGCTAGTCTCAAAAGGACAAATGCTGTATGGTTCCACTTCATGGGATAGCTAGAGTCATCAAAAGCAAACAGTAGAACTATGTTTGCCAAGACTGGGGAGGGGGGATGGCCAGTTGTCAGTCTATGGGTCTAGAGGTTGAGTTTGCAAGACCAAAAAGCTCTAGAGATCCATTTAACACAACTATGTGAATATACTTAACACTACTGAACTATACACTTATAAATGACTAAGAGGGCCTGGCTGGTGTGGCTCAGTAGTTGAGCATCGACCTGTGCACCAGGAGGTCTCCAGTTCAATTCCTAGTCAGGGCACATGCCCAGGTTGTGGGTCAAATCCCCAGTGGGGGGCATGCAGGAGGTGGCCAATCAATGTCCTCTTATATCAGTATTTCTATCTCTCTCTCCCTCTCCCTTCCTCTCTCTGTAAAAATCAATAAAGAAGAAAAAAAATATTTTTAAAAAATGGTTAAGAGGATAAATTTTACATTGTTTTTTATGATAAAAAATAAAAAATATATGGCCCAGCCAGTGTGGCTCAGTGGTTCAGCATTGACTCATGTACCAAGAGGTTGCCCGTTCAATTCCCAGTCAGGGCACATGCCCAGGTTGTGAGTCTGATCCCTAGTGGGGGGCATGCAGGAGGCAGCCAATCCGTGTTCTCGCTCATCGATGTTTCTCTCTCCCTCTCCCTTTCTCTCTCTCTAAAATCAATAAAGAAAAAAAATCTTTAAAAAATATATAAAACTTATTGGAACACATATACATTCAAGTAATTATAATATTTGGTAACTTCAGAGGGATTTTCTCTATCAAAGATTTACTTTCTGAATTTCAAAAGATTAAGCTATTCCTGCTAAAAGACTTACTAGCCTGGTATGCTTCTGAGCCTCTCCTTTCCTAATTTATTTGTTTTTCCAACCGTGAGAGGTCAGGCCTGGAAAATGGACACCCAGGTCATGCTTTTTATCTCTATTACTCTTTTAAAAATATAAGTTTAAATCAAGTTCTGAGTAGGTAATACAGTCATATGGTTCAAAAGTCAAATGGTATAAAAGGGTGCATACCCAGCAAAACGTCTCCCACCCAGTTCCCCTCCATGGAGGCAACCAGTGTCGCCAGTTTCTCGTGTACCTTTCCAGGTCAATGCATATACCGGGAGTTAACATTGGATTTAAAAGCATACTGTCTGCCGCATGGACTCTGGCTTAGGAAAGCTGAGGTCTGATAATAATCTTTGGGCTGGAGCATCAGGGTTGGAGGAGAGCATAGTTATTTACAAGGCTGAATATATTTTCTGAGGAGATTCAGTAAATAAATTAATTTAAATGTTTTTCTTTCCTACTTCAGATCCAAAGAAGCTATTATTGTCAGAATGCCTCTAACTGGTTAAAAAAAATAAAAAAGACAGAGAAAAGTGCCTGTCATCTATATAATCTGACCTGACCTTGTTTTGGTTTTTTTGTCTAAATTTAATTTCATCATAAGAATATTACATATTCTTTGGTACTATAAAGAGGAGGAGGAGCCCTGGCCGGTTTGGCTCAGCGGTTAGAGCGTCTGCCTGCGGTCCGGAGAAACCCGGGTTCGGTTCCCGCTAAGGGCATGTACCTCGGTTGCAGTTTGTCCCCGGCCCTGGTTGGTCGTGCGGGTGGCAGCCACTCGATGTGTCCCTTTCACGTCGATGTTTCCCTCTCTCTCTCTTCCTCTCTCTCCCTCCCACTCTGTCTGTACAAAAAATGGAAAAATGTCCTCGGATGAGGATTAAAAAAAAAAAAGAGGAGGAGGAGAATTACCCTTCATTCTACTACTTAACACATTAATAGTGAGCACAGCCAGGCCCTAAACGAGGCGCTCACATACTATCTTAGTTGTCCTATGACAGCAGACAGGTATTACTCATCAAGCCCACACCCAAAGATTAGGCACTTGCCCATAGATCGGTGGCTCTCAAATGGGGGTGATTTTGTCCCCTCCACTTTCTAGGGGACATCAAGCAGCATCAGAGGCATTTTTTTAATCCTCACCCTAGGATATGTTTATTGATTTTAGAGAGATGGAGTGAGGGAGAAGAAAGAGAAACATCGATGGGTTGCCTCCCATATGTGCCCCGATTAGGGATCGAACCCACAACCTAGATATGTGCCCTGACAGGGAATCAAACCCACAACCTCTTGGTGTATGTGACAATGCTCCAACCAAATGAGCCACCCGGTCAGGGCCGGAGGCATTTTTCATAGTCACAATGTGGGGGGTGGAGGGGGCGTACTGCTCAGATCCGGTGGGTAGAGGCCAGGGATGCTGCCCAACATCCTGCAATGCACAGAACAGCCCCCCACAACAAATAACTGTCTGTCCCAAAACGTCAAATGCTGTGGCTGAGAAACCCTCCTTAGATAAAAGCTAAGTAAGGCATCAACCTGGTGTTTTGGGGTTCCAAAGCCCCAGCTCTTTCCACACCACACAATACTGCTGCTTCCCAGGATACTTCCAGTCTGACACAGGAATTTTTTACACGCTCTATTTATATCCCTTTCCCCTCCTCAGCCCAAACAATAATCATTTTTCATGCTACTGCAGTATCTTAATAAATGTTACTTTTATTACATAAAAATATTCTATCAACTAGATATACTATTAATTATTAAATTATTCCCTAATTGTAGGATATTTAGATTATTTTCAAATTTTCCTTGGTATAAGTACTGGACCTTCTAATTTTTAATTAAAAAAGCATTAACTTTCAAAGTCAACTTATTTATGTCACAAACCAAAAAAAATGATATGATTTGCTTTACCTTAAACTGTGGCTTTTCAGAAGTGGTTAGTAAAACATCACTGAATAATCTATAAAGAGAAAAAAAAAATCTTTCTTAAAACAGGTGCACTCTCAGAAGATGATCAAAGCAGATGAGACATCTTTAGCCCATGCAGTCCCCACATCCCCCTGCCTGACCCACTCCACCAGTTCATGTTTATCAACACAAAACATTTACGGGCCGCCCAGGACAAGCTTGGGAAAACCCCCAGCCAGTTACCAGGGGCGCTGGGTCAGCTGCATACTGGAGGTTATTTCTCCACCGAAGGGCAAAAGTCCCTTCATGCTATGTAGTAAAGTCATTTACACTTAAAAAGAATTATTTCTGCAAATGATTATTTATTATATTATTATTCACATTATATTACAAAAAATACATGCAGTAAATATTTCTAAATAAAATAACTGGTTTTTCTTTTTTGTCCCAGAGAAGAATAAAATTTATTCTAGCGCTCAATAAAATAAAAACGTGCAAGTTAGTAGAAAGGAATTGTTCTGATTAGAATCTAACGAGAAAATAATTTTCTTCTAAGAAAAATAGTGTTTCTCCTGCTTTCTTAAAAAGAAATAGCATGCCCTGGCCGGTTTGGCTCAGCGGTTAGAGCGTCAGCCTGCGGTCCGGAGAGACCCGGGTTCGGTTCCCGCTAAGGGCGCGTACTTCGGTTGCAGTTTGTCCCCGGCCCTGGTTGGTCGTGCGGGTGGCAGCCACTCGATGTGTCCCTTTCACGTCGATGTTTCTCTCTCTCTCTCCTTCCTCTCTCTCCCTTCCACTCTATCTGTACAAAAAATGGAAAATATCCTCTGGTGAGGATAAAAAAAAAAAAAAAAAAAGAAATAGCAGCTTTTAGAGTATATCTACTCTCTATTCAAAACTATGTTATTAAAAACAATAGCTTGAGGAATTCTGAACTGTTTTGGCTGAACAGGTCGGAGAGTTTAAACGGTCGTTTGGGCAGTGCCCACATGTCTGTGAGTCGTTCCTTGAACAGTTCCCCTTTTTAAAAATCAGGAACTACGTGACCCAGAGCAATGACAGGGTCACCCTTTCCCCACCGAGCTCGGGAGGCTGTGGAGGTGGAGACATAACTCTCCCCTCCGAGGCCACAGGTCCGTCTGCTTCCAGACGGCACCTCTGAACTGGACACAGTTCACACTCTCCAAGTGTTAGGCTGAAGCCCACAGGTCAGAGAAACTTAAGGAAATAATATTCGGATTCACCTTAGAACTGGAAGATTGGGAGCAAATGTAAGGGCTCTGGGGTCATAAATACAAACCCAAGTGACTCAACGTGGATACAGGCTGTTTCCTGACTACAAATGCATTCTGTTCTAAAGTCTGTGAAAAGGTTTTGTTTTCCCTAACTGGGTCTATTTTCCCATGTTCACATTGTTATGAACAGTGGCTGGTTCAGAGAGGGACTTGCCAATGTCAGTCACACCGTAGAATGTCACATCCATGGGCAGGCGCTTGGGCTGCTCTGCTGCTCACGGGGTCCCCGGGCCTAGAACGGCGTCTGGGCTATAGCAGACCCTCCACAAGCAACCTAAACTTCCCACTACCTTCTCCGGACTCTGGCTGTATACACTTCAAGCTGGTCGTCTGCCTGTTTCTCCTATCTGTTTCCTCAGTACAGCTGATCTGTTTACAACAAGCTGGTACAGACCAAGCACTGGGTATATCACATGGCACACGGTGCTCACAAATAAAAGCTGAATCAATATTCATCATAACTACTATTTAATAAGCACTTCTTGAGTGTCAGGCACTGTTCTAGCAATCATCTCATTAAACCCTCCCCACAACCCTGTGAGATGGGGACTATTATTATCCCCACTTTACAGGTGAGGAAACTCAGCTTCCAGAGGTTCGGAAATTTGCCCAAGGTCACCCAGGTGGATGTGGTGAGGCTGGGTCCACCCCCAGGTCTAACTAATCTCAGACACAGACTTCTTCTTCTTCTTCTTTCGAGGGTATGTTTATTAAAGGTGGGGACAGTGACACAAGGAGGGGCCCAGGGTGGAAGCAGCAGCAGGAGTGACACAGCCTTGTTCCCTACCAGCTGCCTTTCCATGAAGGGACAGAAAATGCACCTAAAGGGAAGGCCCCGAAGCACTATTTCAAGCACCCGAATTACCTATTTATAATCCTATTTAAGAGGGAATGTCTTCCTAGCTGTAAGCCCCTAGCACCGTGCCCGGTACATGCCAGATGTTTAATAAACATTACCCAGTGAGAAACTGAACACACACACTGTTCTCCTCATGGAGGGCTGACCCTCCAAGGTCAGTGGTTTGTGAACTAGCCACAGCTGTGGCCCAACTGGTGTCCGAAACAGGGTCATGAAGGACAGCCGCCTGACAGGGCCCTCCTTCGGTACTGCCTAAGTGGGGGCTGCCACATGGACACATGCACAACGCTAACATCGACAGGGAGACACACGTGAAAACGAGGTTGAGGTCAAAGGAGAACAATCAGACTAAGGTAGGAGAGGGGTCACAGGAAAGGTCATGATAACACATTGCAAGTGACTGTCAGCAAAGCGGTCACTTGGACTCTGCAACTGAGTCTTTTCTACGGTACCAGGCACTTGGGTTAGTGGTCAGTGTTCAACCAGTGATGAACATAACAACCAAGGCATCTGAGTGACTTACGGCATCTGTAAGAGCCGGGAGACGGTAGGCATGCCATTTTTACAGGCTTCACAAGACAGCGTAGACTCCAACACGGCCACTTGAAATGAACAGATACACATTTTAGTTCCACAGAACATGCTGGCAAGTCCACTTGGTGATGAAGAGTTTGACACCCATTGCCACAACTGTCTGCAGGCCGATCAGGACGGTGTGGAAACTTCCCATACGCAGACAGATGGCCACGTGGGGAGGGGAATGCTGGCAACACTGTCACCAATGACTCACACTAAGCAGTTTAGGAACCACAGGCTGACAGTGAACTAAATATACTTCAAAGAGAATTGGAGGGAGGGTTCCAGATATCATTCATAAAAGTGTTTGCTCTCTGAAAAGAGAAGTAAACACTGAACGGAAGTAAAAATTCTGAATTTGAAAGGCATTTTGCTGCTTGCTTGCTTTTAATCAAAACCAGCACGCAAAATGCCAATTGTTGATACCTCATCATCCGACACCTTGGCTGATATAAACACAAGCAGCCAGATTTTTCTCCTCACAGGTCACTGTTCAGTTTCAGCTGTTCAAACTCCACACAAGGTAATCTCGGGGCCTGTTCTCTTGAACCAACTCATGTAACACAGAACTAGCGCTTGGCGGAGGGCTGACTTGTACTCCTCCCCGGCTCAGCGGCCCGAGAGCCACCTGCCCTCCCCTCTCTGCTCCAGCAGTGAGTTCTGAGCGGGCTGCGGAGGGGATGAAAGGTGCCTGATGAGTCTGTATCGTCCCTACATCCCTCCTTCCTAAGGTACCTCCGCCGTCCCCCACCTTCCTCGGGCCCTCAGGGGATGCTGGAAGCTCGTGAATCCAGCTGCCGGTGTCTGCTCACCTGTCTGCCTTCCCAGCTCCAGGCCTCCTGGCCCCCAGGTATCCACCTCGGCTCCCCTGTTGTTGCAGGTCCCGCTCCAGCCTTGGTCTGACTCCTGACACCTGCCTGAGCCCTCAAGACTGGCTTCAAATGGCCTGACCCTGACTTCTGCTTCTAGATCAGGCTCAGTCTGCCACACTTCTCTTTATATACTCCTGTTTTCAAGATTCTGATGCCATGACCAAGATTCCCCTGACTCAGAGAGCCCGATAAATGGACAAGCCATTTGAATTTCAGTGAAAAGCATTTAAGTAAATTACTCAGATCTGGTTTGCTCTTAAATTGGACAAGACTTTCGGGCTCTGGAGCATGACAACTTCCACTGGGTCTTTCCTGGACTCTGGAAAGGGGTGAGTAGCTGTGCAGACTACCTGGGCCCAGAAGACCCCCCCGCCCCAAACCCCATACTGACCCACAGCCATAGATGGGGCAGGAGGGAAGGAGTCTACGGGCACTGAGTCTGGAGGTCGTCCGTAGGTCATTTCATACAGCAAGTGGCCAAAGCAGTGGACATCCACGCTTTCTAATGTCTGTGGAAGAAGAGAGCAGTGGCACGTTCCTCTTTCAGCTCGGCTTTGTGAATCTCAGCGCCCTGCCCTTGGCCTCCACTGAGAAACAAGGCCTGGGGTGAGCCCACTGCTAGTGAAAACGCACGAGGCATTGCTCTGACCAAAGGTCTCGGTCCTGCCCTCCACGTCTTCCAATCAGTGATCCTAGGCCCCCCTTGTCCCATCTACTGTTTCAGCTTAGCCTCTCGGAGACATGGCGATGCTCTGAGGGAGAAGCGGGCCATCAGGCATGGCCTACCCCAAATGTACCTATCACTGCTTCGTGCATATTTCATACACGGGCAGATCATGGGGTCTGGCCATGGGGATAATTTAGAACCCAAAATGTACCTGCCGTTTCATTACTTTCAGCAACTTACATTGATTTTTCTGAATTGTGAGAAATAAGATCTGTAGAAGGAAGGAAGGCCCAGTAAGGAATTCTCAAGATCTAGCAGCCGGCAAGTGTCCCCATCTAGCATCACATTGGAGGCGTGAAGATGCCCATAAGGGAATCCTTTGTCATGTAGAAACTTTAGTACCTTTAAAAAAATATGTACAGGTTACATTTCCCACTCTCCCAACTCATTCAGATATAAGACAGGTTAAACTTTGCTTTTAAGTCAATATATTTTGAAACAAAATCAAACAGGTCACTGGGGAGACTCCTAAAGAAAGTTGCCACCTCTCTCCATTTCTTTAGACAAAGAAGTGCTGCTGAATGTTCTCCAGCTGTGAGATGCCACACCAAGCCCCCTCATTGCTGAAGAACAGAGAAGCCACCTGCGTCTGTCTGGGGTTAACAGTTTTATGCCCAAAGCCTCTACTTAAGGACTTACTCATCTCAACAGGCCAAGCCCTCCTCAGGGCCAAGTCAGTGGTCCTGGAGGAGGAAGCTAGCAAGTCAGTGCTGTGGCCAGCTGTTCAGGAAAAGAAGCTGAATTGAAACATCCCTAGGCAATCTCACCTTAGAATATACTTGGCTGTTTATTAACAGACACAAATGACAGACTCTCACAAAAGGAAGCAAACTTTTCAGCTGCCACTTAATAAACAGTGGTTTACCCAGCAATAAAGGTGCCCAAGACAATCCATTGAGAACTGGGAAAAAAATACAACTTCTCTTTCTATTTGTTTTGTTTTTAATCTCATTCTTTATTTATAATGTATACAATATGTTAGTAGTAGTGCATGTATGAAATAGTTAAATATATACGACATTAGGGGGGTTATGCTTAAATTCTTTTCACTAGTAGGATTGCACAATCCCAGAATCTTGGAGACTACTGCTTAGAGGGTGATGTGGGAAAGGCTTTTCATGCTAATTACATTTCTGCAAGGGAGCCATATGGTTACGTATATGATGTAACAAAATCAAGAATCTTGGCACAAATATAAAGATCAACCAAAAATAACACAAAAGCTGATGCCCACACATTTAAGGTCTTAAAAATCAGACATGAAATTCTAGTAGCTAAGCTTTTTGGAATTTTTATAGCTGTAAATTAGGCTTAGTCTCAAATATATTTGCTTTTTGGAATAAAATATGGCAATGTCATCAGCTTATAAACAGTCAAACAACTTAAACTATTTTGGATATTGCTTAAAAACTTTCCCAAAAGAATACTGGATACTGCCAGGCCCGTGTGGCTCAGTGGATAGAGCATCATCCCATGGACTGAGGTTCCAGTTCAATTCCCAGTCAAGACACATGCCCACTAGGGGGCGTGCAGGAGGCAGTGGATGGATGTATCTCTCCCTCTCTAAAAAAAATTCAATGAAAACATATTTTAAAAAAAAAGAATACTAGAATACTGAGTGAAATTCCAATGCAACTTAAAAATTAAATATCTCTTACCTCTAATATTTGCCGCCCATATGTTTTTATTTGTTGGAGTTCAAGGCCTTGAATCTTCTTAGGGTTGCAGTACTTTTTTAGGAATGGGTCTTTTGGTTTTGACTTTGGAGAAAAACAAAAAGCACATAAGAAAGCAGCAGAGGGGTTAGCATCTGCACACAGGCTCCCCAACAGCAGGACTCTACAGAGACTAGGGGTGCCAGCCTATAGGAGGTGGGTTTTAAAAATACAACATGCATACTAGGTGGTTTGGCTCAGCGGTCAGAGTGTGGGCCCGGGGACCAGAGAGTCCCAGTTTGGTTCCTGCTAAGGGCACGTACCTCCATTGCAGTTTGTCCCCAGCCCAGTTGGGGTCGTGTGGGTGGCAACAAGTTGACGTGTCTCTCTCTCACATCAATGTTTCTCTCTCTCTCTCTCTTCCTCCCTCTCTCACTCCTGCTCTATCTGAAGATAAATGCAAAAAATGTCCTTGGGTGACGATAAAAATAAAATAAAAATAAAAAATACAACAGGCTATGCAGTGACAGAAAGAGGCAGACCTAGGTTTCATCCCTTCTCTAGTCCAGTGAAGATGTGTCTAGTCTTGGCCTTAGCTGATCCCAAAGTCATATGTACTGTTAGAATTTTTCACTATTATTAAAAATTTTTTTTTCCCACTTGGAAATAGTTTGGTATTGCTTTGTTAAATGAAAGACACAACTTTAAAACTGACCTAATGCCACAAACATAATCATTAAATGTTCAACCTTCCCTCATGTGGGGAAAAACATGCTTTTTAGCCAAACTGGGTAGTTTTTATTACTAAATTCAAAATAAATCCCAGATAAAAATTTAAGTAACATCCTCACGGCCTCGCTTCTGGAACCTTTGGGATCAAGTGTCCATTACAGGCTCTAAAGGGACTTGAGAACTTTGTTACGATGTGAACTTGCATTGCAAAACAAGTAAGTACCTTGTAGATCAGGTCCTTCAAAGTTCCTTTTTCATTAAACATCCTAATAAGCAATGCCGAGGATTCGTTCGCTGTGGCAAAGGTGACCCGATAGATATAAGGGTGCTGGCAAAACAAGAGAGAAATTCACATTTATTTGCATCAGCGTCTAGGTCCTTTTACATCCAGGATCTGGTCATGCACAGTCAAGACCATCTTGGTAGTTTAGTTGCATACAAATGTGTGCATATTCTCTGAACACACGGCATTTTCAAGTTATTAGATGAGCAATTCTTACATCATTCTGTAAACGAGAGAAGGGACATCAACAATACTGACAAAGGGGTGGGTACCTGATGTGATCAGCTCTCCATGGAGGGTATCTGCTTTGGAATGCATATTCTCATAGTTCAGGCAAAAGTGCGATGGAAGGCAGGGAAGTCTGAGTTTTTGGAATAGTGTTTTAATATTCTGCCTCTGTAAATTGGTAAAGAATACAGCCGAATCCTAAATCAGCCACGTGGGGAGCAGGGTAAATGTGTCCTCATTCACAGCTTTGCCTAACATTCCACACTGCTTCATGGTGCCAAGACAGGGAGCATGACAGCCAGAAAACAAGCAAAAGCTGCATTTTGGGGATCTTGGCTGTTTTCCAAAGCAGCTAGCATGAATCTTCCTGTCCTTCTCTGGAAGATGTAGTGTGATGATTCACAGTATCCTCCTGAGACGGGGACTGACGTCAACCAAGTTGGGTGGGGAGTAAGACAAATTATTAATGACTGAAAGGAAAGTATTCATCCTGGCCTGAAATTGTGGTTACATGAACCAGCTGGCTCCAGACAAGGTGTTACGATGTCCATTAGCTCAAAAAGTACCATGAACATTTCAATGCAAGGACGCTGAACTATGCAAAGATTTGGGAGGCAGGGGTTGAGTGAGTTGAGGGGAGAAAGGGTGTGCCCAGGAAAATATAGTAATTGATCATAAAGTTTCTCTTGACCAACACATCAATATGGTTGCTGATGACATTTTAATAGCTTTACTGAAATATAAGTCACTTAGCATTACAATCCACCTATTTAAAGTGTACAATTTAATAGTTTTCGCTATATTCAGACTTGTGCAACTATCACACAATCTAATTTTAGAACATTTCATCACCCCAAAAAGGAACCCAAAAAACAAAATAAAAATGCTTGAGTCCCTACAGATATAAATAAAGACAGGAACATAGGAAGCCCTTCCTTATAGTAGAATGCCAACTAATAAATATGAGAGGGGTGATGCGGTCAGGCAAGCTCAGTGAGTGCTGAAACTAGGGGGTTTGATAAAGAATGGAATATTTACATAGACTCAAAATATCTCCCTATAATTACTTATTAATTCTAGTTATTTATCTTAAGAAAATAAGGACAGATACAAACATTTTGCTAAAATTGTTCACTATGGATTTTTTTTAAGAAAAATAAACGAGAGGTGATCTAAATATCTAGATTTGTTGAGTAAACTGAGGTACAACCAATGATAATTCTATGTAGCCATTAATAATAATGGTATGGTATATTTATTAACAATAAAAGATATTCATGGTATACTAGTCACAAAAATAAAACAACTTTTAAAAAATATATATATATTTAAATAATATAAAATTCTACAAAAGTAATGTATTTCTTGGTTAGTTGGAATTAGGGATGAGTTTCCTTTTTTTGGCTTATTTGTGTTTTCTGACTTTTCTGTAATGAATATGTATCACTTGTCTGCACCACCATCTTTTTTAAAAAGCATATCCATTAAAAGAAATTTAGAATTGAGTGCTGACAGCCTGTGTCACACAATTAATCAAACTCAAAGACCACAGCATTTTTGTTGGCTACACATCACACCTCATTAAAAGCCTGGTTTTGCTAGTTTGACAGGGCAGTTTATCTTCAAAAACAAACTTGCCAACCCGACTGGACAGGTCAGCATAACTGTGCTCAGTCCATGACTGACTCACTCTAGGGTCCCACATCCTCATGCAGACCACAGATAAAGAACATCAACACTAACCCAATTTCCTGGCCAGATCAGTCTTTTCCTGAAGACATCCTGCATTTATTTTGAAATATACTGATGTGGCCCTGCTGGTGTGGCTCAGTGGTTGAGCATCAACCTATGCACCAAAAGGTCATGGGTTCGATTCCCGTTCAGAGCACATACCCAGGTTGTGGGCCCAATCCTCAGTGGGGGGCATGTAGGAGATGGCCAATCGATGTTTTCTGTCATCGATGTTTCTTTCTCTCTCTCCCTCTCCCCTCCTCTCTCTCTAAAATCAATACAGGGGAAGAAAAAAAAAAGAAATATACTGATGTGGTCCTTTCCACCAAAGGCCTTGGATTAGAATTGTGTATTAACATAAATAATGCCAGGTATTCCTAAACACCACTTGGTTAGTCTGTGAGAATCGTAACTCAGACCACAAAAGGGTTATTTTGACTTTCCCTCATCCAATTTACCTAAATCCATATTAGTTCTGTTTTCTCAAACTAGAACAGATCCTTTAATTCCATTGATATAAACACCTTCACCAACAACCAAGTGGCTAGTTTCTATTCTGATATTTGCTTAAATACAAAGTCTACATTTAAATGACCACATTTCATGTGTTGTGCACTATAAATGCCATTTAAATGGCCTGTAATCTAAGGGACTAGCCATAGTTGTTCTGTGCAACAACTTTAGTCTGATCTGAAATCCAGTGTACCGCTCCATTTTTTTGGTATACCCAGCTCTTTCTGTCTACAGAAAACACTGTGAATCTGTCATCAGCACCAAGAACAGAAGGACTTGTACTCACCAAACAGGAAGGCAGAAGTTTGATTAGACACTGAAAATCTTTATCTGACAGATACTTGTCGGGGCCAAGGTCAGCCTAAAAACATGGAAGACAACATCAAGGTGCTACCTTTAGTCATAAAAAGAAAGAAAAGAGAGAAAAAGAAAGAGAGAGAAAGAAAGAGAGAGAAAGAAAAAGAGAGAAAGAAAGAAAGAAAGAAAGAGAGAGAGAGAGAAAGATTCCTTGTACTTTTCTCTCTCTTTTTTTGTTTATCCAAATATATAAATGTTAACCAAAGAATGAAAACCAACTAAGTCTTCTTGCCTCAAAGCCTTTCTGGAGGGATAGAATATAAACACAAAAAGCAGAACTTAATTGTAATCTTATAGAATTCCATTAATCAAATGTATCACTAGAACTCCCAAAGTGAGAGAACACAGTAATGCCCGAGTACTTTCTTTAAAACAAACTGCAAAACTGCCAACCCTAAAGGGGTCCCAGAGAACTATTTTAAGCTATTCCTCTTTCTTTCCAAATGTTTATTAGTTGATCAAATATAATCACATCAAAATAACCAAAATGGCCTTGGCCAGTTTGGCTCAGCGGTTGAGAGTCGGCCTACAGACCAGAGTCCCGGGTTTGGTTCCTGCTAGGGGCACATACCACAAAATAAATAAATAAATAAATAAATAAATAACCAAAATGTATAAGCAAAGTAACTTAAAATGACTCTCCTCTGATGAAGAAGGCCTTCATAACATCACTCAGGAGCACAATATAATTTCATAATTCTCTTGTCAATATCTGTTTTCATTAACCCATCTAAGGTCCCTGAAATTTGAAACAAAAAACCAGCTTACCCAGCTTAATACTAGCCGTTCCTTTGGCTGATTTTTAATCTTCATCAAGAAATATTTCTTTCTTATCCTCCAACCTGCCATAAAAGCAGAAGCGTGTTTATAGCTACATAATTTTTACACCAATTGATAGGTTTCATTGACTGAGTAATTAATAAAAATTAAGTTTGACAATATTATCCATAGCTACACAGGCACGAGTAAAACAACCATTTGGTAATGTTGACATGGTAAAGAGTGCACTAAAAAAACAAAACAAACAAACAAAAAAAAACAGTGAGCAGCCCTAGCAGTTTAACTCAGCGGTTAGAGCTTCGGCCCACAGACTGAAGGGTCTTGGGTTTGGTCCTGGTCAAGGGCACTTAGGGTCAAGGGTTGTAGATTCGATCCCCAGCCCCCAGTCAGGGTTGTGTGGGGGTAGCCAATCCATGTCTCTCTCTCTCTCTCTCTCCCTTTCTCTCTCTCCCTCCCTCCCTTTCTACTCTGTCTAAAAATGGATGGAAAAAAAACGAAAACAAAGAAAACAGCAAATAAATTACATTATTCACAGAAAGAGGAAAACAGCATTTCACTTTAGATCTAGTGAAAAAGACAGCTGAGGAATGAATGATGAAACCATGCTGAAAGTATAAGTTACTACCATTAAAATCCTCAGATGTGGCTTTAACCAAGATTCACTAAGTAGTAAAAGTTAAGGACTGCATCCTCAAGCAACAGGGAGGAAAAAGAAAAAGAAATCACCTGCATTTAAGAGCTCTCCTGGGATACATTCAGGAAAGCATGACAAAGAATCCAGTTCTGGGATGTGTCTTTTTAAACAGAATGGGCATGCCAGTTTCTCACCTATGTCTTTCAACGGTTCTACCACCTCCCACTTTGGTTCTGACCGGAAGAACATGGAAACCTGTTGTAAGGCAATCTCTGCAAAGACATTTTAGAAACTCATTAGTCAAACATATCAGGAAAGTATCATATGCTTAAGATATTATTCTTGCAAGTGAAATTCTTATAGTCTATGACCATCTTAAAAAAATTACATGCCCGACCATGTGAGCCTCAGTGGATTGAACATCGTCCCATGGACTGGGACGGCCCAGTTTGATTCCCAGTCAGGGCACATGCCCAGTAGGGGGCGTGCAGGAGGCAGACAATCAATAATATCTCTCTCACATCAATATTTCTCTCTCTCCCTTTCTCTCTAAAAAAAAAAAAAATCAATAAAAAATATTTTAAGAAACCAACTTAATTACACACACACACACACTAAATGCAATGTGGGATACTAGACTGGATCCTGGAACAGAAAAAAGACATTAGTGAAAAAAATTAGTGAAATCTGAATAAAATCTGTAGTCGATAGTAATATATCACAGCTAATTCCTTAGTTTTGGTAACTGCGCCGTGGCTGTGTAAGATGCTAACATCAGGGGATTGGGTGAGGGGCACAGGGACACTCTGTACTGTCACTGCCAGTTGTCTATACAGCTAAAATTATCTCAAAGTAAAAGGTTTACTTAAAAAAAAAAAGGGTAGACAGACTAGCTGGTGTAAGCCAAGAATTCAATCCATGCACCAGCCCCCAACCCAAGCACAAAATTCAAAATGTGTTCTAAGGTCAGCGTAGAAGAATAGTCAGTGTTGCTCCAAGTGATATTTATCCCATTGTCATTTCTCATGGAATTATAGCTTTCACCAACAAAGAAGTGATTAGCCTTAAATATATACTGGAAATAAAAGCCAATATTTTAGAAAAACATCTACGCACAGCGACAACACGGTTCTATTGTGGGAAGTGGTGGTGTGCTTGTTTACCGGGAAAAAGCCATCCTTCTTTTTGTGTTCATTTATCACGAGAATGTTTCCTTCTTTTAAGAAGACAATGAGAAGAGGAAGTTCTTTAAAGTGCACTGTATTAAGAAATTATAGAATAACGATGCTTTTGTGGTTCCCACAAAACGCAACATCTGTAATTTGCTATTTCTCCTCAATTCAGTGAGTAAATGAAGCTACTCCTGATTCCTGAAAGCGCACAGAAATCCCGCAGATTCACTGTGGAATTTCGCCTCTGCCTTGCATTAATTATCTTCCAGGCAGACTGGGGAGGTACGGGGATTGGGCAGAAATGCTCTCCATGTGTCAAAATGACCTAGTAAGAATTACCATGTCAAGACATGGTATCATTTTGATGTACTTTACAGCACATTATGAGTTAAGATACTCAGGGAAGAAAACCCACTAGCTATGTGTTCACTGACTCAATAGGTAAAGTGACAGTCTATCCACACGGAAGAAAAGCCGTGAGGGACAAATACAAAACTGCCTCCGTTTGCATGTGCTCTGAGTGCGCCAGTGTGATAGCCCACCTGGAGGGACCGACCGGGAGCCACAGGAGCAGGTGCATTTCCAGTATCAACACTGGGAACTCTGTAGCTCCTCCATAACTAGTGTTGATATAACATGCTTTTGGCATTTGCAAAATAACTTGAATGTCAACAAACTTAAAAGGAAATTATTTAAGTGAAGATCATTCATATCAACTTTGAGAGCGATCATGACAAATAATTTTCTAAATGCAATACAATGTCATTCTAAGGGACCGTGAAGGACAGTTTGTTCAAAACTAACAGTGAGTCATAATTCTCCACAAATTCATTATTCAACAATATTTACCATGTTGCTACTATGTACTGGACATTGTTTTAGAAAGGGGGTAACAGCTGTGAAGCAATGGAATGTGCGAGGTTTGTTGCTGATATATTGAGGACTGGAAAATAGCTTTTCATGCCCCAGGGACCAGGGAACTGCAGAAAGGACATTTCTTTCCACTACACTCTGATTTATTGTCAAGTAAATTACGTGACTACTGTGCTGCAATTTTAATCCCCCACCCCACCCAGACTCTGGCAACAATTTAATCCTAAGAATCCATCCCTCTGCTTAGAAGCCTTTATTGGTGCCCCATTTCCTCCTTACCAAGGCAAGACCAAGCTTCTAAGCCCAGGCACAGCCTAGCTCTGGCGTTGTCTCCCACTCTTCACGCTGAGGTTTGCCTCCCTCGGCCCCGAAGATGGCCTGACCCACCCCTCAGCATTTTCCATTCTTGCCCATCTATCAGTCCAAGTTTGCGGCTCAGTCCAAGTTTGCTGTCCCTTAGCCAGGAGCCCTCCCTCCCTCCTGGTACCCGACCAGTGCTACATCCATCCCTCTCCTGTGGGACTCACTCACAGACTGTCCTGAACTAGGGCTACTCTTTTCACTAGACCAGAAACTCTGGCTGGAAGGACACATCTTAGTCTGGATGAAGCCACACGGAAATACTCTCCTCCCTGGAGCAGTGCTCCTGCCTCTGGACCTGGCTAACTTCTACTCACCCCTCAGATCTCCATGTAGGTATCAGCTCTTCGGGGAAGCCTTCCTCCATCTTCAGATCTAAATCATCTGCAACCCTACTGCTCCCCCACACCCCCTGCACCCCCAAGTGCTGCCCCATGTTTACCCTGCCATAGTCTTCTCCCTGCAAAAGTGCCTAGGGGAGGGGTGGGGGCTACTATTCCTCCCTTGTCACTGTAGTCCTATTCCCAGCATCTGGCACACAGTAAGTGTTCAGTAAATATTCCATGTAGGGAGAACTAAGGGTTCAGTACGTGTTCACTGAGTGTGGATGCTCTCTCCCCTTAGGACATGAAAGCCATGAAAAGGAAGGCATCTGCCCTGTTTCTTTAGCACCAACAGACACATGCGGGGACATACAGACTCAGTCGAAGCAGATAAACAATCCCAAGAGAGGAAAAGCAGAGCGAAGCCTTCCAGTTGGTCCTGTGCTTCCCACTGTGCAGCCTTTGAGCTAGATCCCAGCCCCATGGGATGGCTACAGGGAACAAACACTGACCCCTCGTCCTGCAGCTGGCTCCAGGTCCCTAAGCTACTGCAGGAAGTGGCGTTACAGAGGCCTGTACATCCAACGGCCGGACATGAGCCTCCAACTTCTTCAAAGCATCCCGCCCTTGTTCTGAATATAATCCCTCAGCTCCTATCTCCCTTCCCTCTTTTTACCCTGGAGCCCACCACTATCAACCTGTTCAAGGGATTCCTGGGGCTTTAAGGCCAGAAGGGAGCTTCAACACTCCCCAGTCCGCTACCCCGTTCCCCGACTCTTGTTTTATAGGCCTGGACCCTGAAGCCCACAGAGAGGAAATGCTGCTGGGACTAGGATCCCGACCTCCTGATTCCTGGTCCAACCTACTTCTATGTGGACATTAAACCCCTTAAACTGAGGGGCTGGAAGTCTGAGGTGGGAAGATGGCTACAGTGTAGTGAGGCATTTACATGACAGAAGTACCTGGTTAATAAAATGAGTAAGTGGGGGGCATATTTGAGTGTGCGTGCATGCATGTGTGTGCGTGTGCATGTGTGCGTGTATGTGCGTGTGCACAAACCCCTCATGACCGGGAGATACCTGTTTTCCATGTACAACAGCTGGTCCTCAGTTAGCCTTTCTAATTCAAATGAACATCTCACAACCCCCACACAGGCTGATGAGCCACGCTGAGTTCTGGGAAGCCTGGACAAGCCCGCCTGGCTTTCCGGGGAAGGGCTCCATCACGCTGGTGCAGAGGAGGCCTGGGCTCCTGGGCTTCCCTTTCCTGAGACTGCTGGTGAGTCAGCCCAGACAAGTTCAGACATTTCACTCAAAGGAGAAGTAAATCAGCACCTCTGAAAACAGCAGCCATCCCCACTGTTCCATTACAGGGCAGTGTCCTCTAGCTCAAGTGGTGGCTCCTTGAGCATTTGGGTTCTGGGGGGAGTCTCTGGTGGCCTTCCTGTTCCCCTGCTTGGACTCCTGACTGTCCACCCTGCTGGGGGAGCAGGGGAAGATCAAGGACAATGGAAGCATGTGAGAGAGGTGCAGAAGGAAATGCAGGGGTCAGACTCCCTTTCAGGGTCTGAGCAGCATTTTAATTGGAAAATACTCAGACGTACACACTTAGACAATCATGCACACGTGCCACCCCAGGTAAGGCCTGCCCTCTGCGGGGGCAAGGAGGGGCTCTCATCTATAAAATGAGAGGGTAAATCTCGATGTGCCTGCTCCGAGATCCCGACCAGCTCTGACGCCAGGTGACCCGATGTCCTTCTGATACAAGCTCCCTGAGAGCAGGGAGAGTGTATCCCTCGAGCCTGTACCCCCCACAGCCAGCCCGCCGCCAGCGCACCACAGGCCAGGTCTGTGGGATGCTCAGCACGTCTCATGTGCACTCCGCCTTGATGCCTGCCCTCAGGACACCAGCAGGGAACGAGGTGGACAAACCGATGAACGGGGCTGGGTTGGGACTGACTTGGTAAGTCAATCCACACGGCCCACCCTCGGACAATTTGGGGAACTGAGGTGCCGCCTGGAGAAGTGAAAGCCGAGAGAGGTGCAACCGTGAGCGCGGGTGTGCCCGAGCCCTGCCCTGTGTTGCTGCTTCTCCTGTGTGAACCAAAGACAGGTGGGGGATGAATGGTAGCCTTGCTAACAACTCAATGTCCAACTTGTAACCTGTAGTCAACGTGAATTTGAAATACACTTTCCTTCATTCCGTAGCAATCTGGAAAGACATTTTTCTCCTGTTTTTGTGAGAAGATGGCAGGTACATTCTAGAGTGAGGCTTCTCAAACTGCAATGTGCATGCCAGTCACCTGGGACCTTGTTGTCTTTGCTTTGTATTTAATCCTCACCTGAGGATATTTTTCCATTTGTCTTCAGAAGAGTGGGAGGGAGAGAGAGAGAGAGAGAAAGAAACATCGATGTGAGAGAGACACATCGACTAGTTGTCCCCCCATGACCCCGACCAGGGTCAGGACCAAACCAAAACCAAGGTATGTGCCCTTGACCAGAATTGAACCCACAACTCTTTGGTCCGTGGGCCAACGCTCTAACCGCTAAGCCAAACTGGCCAGGGCTCACCTGGAACCTTGTGAAAATCAGATCCTGATTAGTAGGTCTGGGATGGGGCCTGAATTCTGCGTTTTTGACAAATTCCCAATAATGTTAGTGCTGCTAGCCAAAAGGCCACACTGTGAGTAGTAAGGCACAAGGGCTGTGGTTTTCAAACTCAGTTGCATATTGGAATCTCTTGGGGAGCTTTAAAAACCATGAACCATTCCTGGCCAGGTAGCTCAGATGGTTAGAGCATCGTCCCAATTCACCAGGGTTGCAGGTTCAATACCCGGTCAGGGCACATGCAAGAATCAACCAGTGACTACATCAATAAGTGGAATAACAAATCAACCTCTCCCTCTCTCTCTCCCCTCTCCCTCCCTCCCCCTCTTCCTCCCTTCCTCTCTCTCTCTAAAATCAATAAAAACAATAACAAAACCACGAGCCACACCTACAGAGAGTCCGATTTAGTTGACAGGTGTGCAGCCTCGGCCTCAGGGTTCTGAAAGCTCCCAGGTGATTCTATTATGCAGAAAAGTTTGGTGCCTGCCAAGCAGACCTCTACTTCCCTCTCTCTGAAACAGGAATGAAAGTGTCTCCCTCTAATGGCTTCAAAAGCAGCATTTTGAGGACCCAAATAGTAGCATGTAAACAATCTATTCTCTTAGCAAGGAGATCAGCTTATTAATAATACCCAGAGTTCCACTTAGAAAGACTGTAAGCATGATTTAGCTTTAACAAATCATTTGAATTCTAATCACTAGTTCAGTCCTACAGTGGTTTCCTTTGGTCTCCTCAAGTCCACACCAGTGTATTCAATATTTAATCACCCATTCTGCTGACACCAGGCTTAGGTTATCAGTGCCAGCTCCATGTGGAATCGGTACCCTGTCCCTGGCTGCCATCCCGATCCAGGAAGGTTTGGAAGACAACTACCCCCTCCGTATGCTTTGTACCTAGTGGGTCTTGGCAAACAACTGGAAACACAGAGAGGACCCTTCTGAATCACTGTTTTGTGGAAATAATTTGAGAAAAACAAGACACACCGTATAATTGCAAACACAAAAACAGAGCTAAATACAAATCCATTGAAATGACTGTACAGATTACCGTGGATTATTTACTCTCTCTTCTGTCAGGGGAGTGAACAAAGACAAGACTGTAAGACACAGACACAATAACTTCTCTTCCAGATTTTTCTGTACAGACATTACAAACATCTTAGATGTTATTTTCTTTTTATACATCTACAGTAAATTATAATCAGGTAAGAATTAGAAAATGAATAATGCCCTATAACAAATATACACATCTGCCCACTTGGAAATAGAGTTTCTCCCACATATTTGATCTCCAGCAAAGCACAGCTCCCTCTGCTTACCAGTGTAGTTTGCGGAATAGTTGTTGGGATCTAAAAACTTCTTAACCAGCTCGCAGTTAGACAAGATGTGATTTGTGGTAATAACATTGAGATAGTTCTGAAGACCTTTCTGCCTCTCGGCTATGAATTCACGATCCATGTTACCAATCAGTTTCTTGGGAGGAAGAGGTAGACTCAGGCCTGCAATCTTTAATTTAAAAAAAAAGTATTACACTCACACCATTCCCACATAAGATACAATACCAGAGTCCTGAGCCACCATTTTCATTAAATCAAAGATACCACAGATTTTAAGACGCATACTAATTTTTTTATATGAAAATGTGAAAAAACTGCATCTTAGAATTCATAAAATACTGCATTAAGTATAGCAACTATAAAACTTAATTTTTTAGTGTTTTTATTTTTATCAAACTTACACATGAACATAATTTCAAGAGTCAAACAGTTCTTCTTGCATTATTATTCAAAGTCTCATGACATTCCCCCACCACCACCCCTGATACCAGATGACATATTCGTTTCTCAGTCCCTAAACAGCCATATTCAATTCTTTAGCCAATCGTTTGGCATTGGGGAATGTTGATATTGTTATGTCTTGATTTTTCATTTTTAGGAATTATCTATAAATTTCCTACTATGGAAATGAGGATTGGTTCTCCTTTACTATCCTGACCTCACCCCATACAACCCTGTTCCTAATCCTTCCAATACAGTTATAATTTCATTTGGTGCAGTACTTATGTTTACAACGCAACGGGGCCAATAAGCCACACCTACTATGCTTAACACGCTTCCTTTCTAGCAACTGGCAGCCTATATTTTTAGTTTTCTATTCAACTCCAAACACTCTGCCTACGCCTTTTCTCAACATATTCACATACAGAGCTGCATTAATTTCATCTGGCGAAGTATCTTCCAGAACCCACCAACCTGCTTCGAGGACTGATGGTCCCTACACCTGCTGCAAAACTGGCCTGCAGGGGCCTCCCTTCTCCCTTCACCATCATTCTGGAGACGCTTTTGTCTTTCTCCTGCTGATCCCATTTCTATATCCTTTTTCTTAGAGGTTCCCCTTATTGTTAGTGGAGATATCCTCTGTAAGCTTTCTAAAAGAGGGGCAAGTTTTTGAAAGCTTGTGTGTCTGAATGTGTCTTTAGTCTAGCCTCACACTTAATTGATAGCGAGTCTTGATGTGGCATTCTAAGTTGAAAATATTTTTTCTTCAGAATTTTTATGAACTACTTTATTGATGTATGAACAGACTGACAGACCTCATGAGGGGAGGGGGATGGTGGGATGGATAGAAATTAACCAAAGAACTTATATGCATACTGTATATATGCACAGCCCATGAGCACAAACAATAGTGTGGTGAAGGCCTGGGGTGAGTCAGGGGCTGGGTGGAGAGGGGCAAAGGGGGGTAAATGGGAGACATCTGTGATACTGTTAACAATAAAAAATAAGCCCTGGCTGGTTTGGCTCAGTGGTTAGAGTGTCAGCTTGCAGACCAAAGGGTCTTGGGTTCGATTCCAGTCAAGGGCATGCACCTGGGTTGCAGGTTTGATCCCTGGCCCCAGTTTGGGTCATGAGGGAGGCAACCAGTCGATGTGTCTCTCTCACACTGATGTTTCTCTCTCTCTCTCTCTCTAAATCAATGGGAAAAGATCCTTAGGTGAGGATTAACAACAATAATAAATAAACAAATAATAAAAAGAACTACTTTATTGTTGTATGGTATGTGAGAACATGGGTCCTTCCCAAGCTCCAACTCCCCTTCCCACCCTGTGGGAAAAAGTGAAGGTCATCTGTAAGAGCGCTGTGGGACTAACCCTGGGAGCCTGGCCAGCCCCTCAGTCAAGAAATGACCAAAGAGAAACTGCTCTGCTTCGAGATGTGAACCCGGACTGTAAACAACCGCAGAGAAACAGCTAGCGTTTTGAGCTCACACAGCTTCTGTTCAAGCACACCCCTCCCCCTCCGCACCCCCCTCCCCCATCCCCTCATGCCCTGTTTGCTTTGTTTCTGTACTCTGCATATCCCGATGCTGGTAAAGCCTGTGTTGCAGAAAACTTCCCTGCCCTGCCGCCACCAGTGCACAGGTGAGTCCTAATAAACCCTTGTCTTTCACAGCCAGTCCTCCAGGTTGTTTGTTTGGCAGCAGCAAGCAATATGCTGAGATCTCAGCTCTTTGCATAAGTGGTCTCCGTGCTGTTGTTAAAGGATTCTTGATTCTGGGTTTTTTGTTTTTGTTTTTTCCTCTGTATAAGCTTTTAGGATGGTCTCTTTGACCTCAGTTTGTGAATTCCATGTGCCTTTGGGTGGGTCTACCTTCATCCTCTGTGATGAGTACTCGGCCCTTTCCATCTAGAAATCAATAATAGCCTTACATTCTTTGGTATTTTCTTGTATTAGGTCCTAACTTCTTCCCCTCCATGTCCTTTGCTTTCCTTTTCTGGAATTCCTATTTTCCAGTATTGGACATTCTGGGCTGATCCTCTATTCTTATCTTTTCTCTCCTATTTTCTACCTTTGTTAAACATTTTTTTTCTTTTTCTTTCTTGCTTTATTTTTTTAGAGAGAGAGAAAGGGAGAGTGAGAGAAACATCGATGAGAAAGAACATCGATTGGCCGCCTCCTGCATGCCCCCCACTGGGGATCCAGCCCACAACCTGGGCATGTGCCCTGACCGGGAATCGAACCAGCAACCTCTTGGTGCATGGGTCGATGCTCAACCACTGAGCCACACTGGCCGGGAAAACATTTTTTTTTTTTCCTACTGAAAGGTTTTCTGGATTTCCTTGATCTTTCAGCCCTTCTAAAGAGTTTTCATTTCTCCTATTATCTTTTATATTTCTAAGCACTCTTTTCCCTCCCCCTCCCTTTACCTGTTTTTCTATTGATTTTTTTTTAAAGAGAGAGGAAAGGAGAGATAGAAACATCAATGTGAGAGAGAAACATCGATCGGTTGCCTCCCACATGACCTTGACCGGGGCCAGGGATTGAACCTGCAACCCAAGTATGTGCCCCTGACCAGGATCAAACCCAAGACCCCTCAGTTGACCCCACAGGCCAATAAGACGTTCTAACCGCTGAGCTAAACCAGCCAGGGCATTTCTTCCCCCACCCTTAATAACACCCCGAATGTAATGCAATTTCTTCTATCTCGAAGATTATGAAAGGATTTTTCTGAAGTGCCTGAAATGTTCTTACTGCACACATTCTGCTTCCTGAAGGTTCTTTTGTTCTCCTGTTTGTTTTGGTCGTTATCTTTCTTATTAAAAGTGTTCCTTAGAAATCTGGTGATCCTGGGTTGTCTGCTCATACGTAAGAGCGGAGCAACCGAAGCTGACTAGAAGCTCTGGGTAAGTGGTTGTGGCTTGTCTGCTGTGGGCCTGATTGTAGCGCATGACCTCACTCAGCTGCTTCAGTGGGAGAACCTGTGGCCTTGCTCTTGAGTCTGAGAAAGAGTCTTTAGCTCTTTCCTCTTAGGCTGGGCAGATCCCTCCAAAGAGTCTTCCAGTATCTGCCTAGAAGGTCTAAGCCTAACTGCCAGTATTCTGGGAGCTGAGAGGAAGAAGGCACTTGGGGAGGGGAGGAGGGGTTTGGGGCTGAGGTCCATGCAGCTGTTTGTTATGTGAATATTTTCAACCGTGCCTGCATTCTCCAGTCCAAAGGCTGTTCTGCCCACTCCAGGAAGTAAACTTCCAGTTTTCTGCTGGAGGGAGAAGGGCAGGCATAAGTTGTTCAGGTGGGGAAGATCTGGGGATCTGGCTGCTTCTTCAATATACTTTCAGCTCCTGATTTTAGCCTGACCTTGCCACACACTGGAGGCAGCTACATGTCATGTCAATTGCTAAAACTTTTGGAGATCTCATCAAACAACAAGTGTTGACGAGGGTGTGGAGAAAAGGGGACTCTAGTACACTGCTGGTGGGACTGCAGACTGGTGCAGCCAGTATGGAAAACACTATGGTGTTACATTAAAAAGTTAAAAATTGAACTGCCATTTGACCCAGTGATCCCACTTCTAGGAATATACCCTAAGAAGCCTGAAACACCAATCAGAAAGAAAATATGTGCCCCCCATGTTCATAGCAGCACTATTTACAATAGCTAAGATCTGGAAACAGCCCAAGTGTCCATCAGTAGATGAATGAATAAAAAAGCAGTGGTACATATACACAATGGAGTACTATGCAGCTGTAAGAAAGAAAGATCTCTTATCCTTTGAGACGACATGGAGGGACCTGGAAAGTATTATCCTAAGTGAAACAAGCCAAGCAGAAAGAGACAAATACCACATGATCTCACTTATTTGTGGAATATAATGAATATAACAGTCTGAGGAATAGGGTAGACCCAGAGACGTGGAAGTAGGGTACAGACTGACAACTCTCAGAAGAGGGGGGGGGGGGGAAGAGATAAACCAAAGAACTTATATGCATGTAAGCATAATCAATGGACACAGAAAACAAAGCCAGGGATGGGGTGGGGTGGGGGGATGAGGAGGAGGGTGCCAATGGGGAAAAAAAGGAGAAATATCTGTAACAAAAATAAAATTAAAAATAAAGAAAAAAAACTTTGGAGGTTCTGTGAGATAAACTGGACCCAGTGGGATTATCCACACCCCATGTCAGAATGCCTTCCCATATCTGATTAATTAGTTAGCTCTCATCTCATCCACTGAATTTTCAACTTCAAATATTTTGCTATATATAGTTTTCTCCTCTCCTATTTGTCCGTGTGTGTGTGTGTGTGTGAGTGTGTAAGACCAATTTACTGTTTAAGAGTGGCTTCAAAAGAGGAGAAAAATAAATGCAGGTGCTCAAGGTACTAGCATTTCCAGATGATTTGAAACTTTGAAGTCTATATTTCCAATTTAAAAAAAAACAAAAAAAACAAAGCATCAGATTAGTATCTTAATTTAATGAGTAAAATCACTTTCAAAGAGCAGTGCTAGTCTACACTTGTGCTTCAATTAGGGCAGTCCAAGTGGCATGCGTATTGATTGAGAGAAAGGTCTAAAGAGAATTCAGACAAGGCTGTAATCTAAACCACCCATGTGGGCAAACCTAACTTAGCCTTTTCCACTCTGTATTTTTCAAGCAACAAAGAAGACCTTGAACTTGACAATGGACAAGATGAAAGGTTGCCTGACAATTCTAAATTGCTTGTTTCTCCAAC